AGCCGATGGTTGGGGAAAAGACCTGTATATTCGCGCACAGCAGTGACTGCAGAGCGTTTACATTCTCCATAAATTAACATCATTTCCAAATATTCTTTATACTAGTATGAATAAGACATCAATAACTTAGTACTGATTTGTATTGTCCTTAAAAAAAAAATGCAACTAAACGATTTTTGTCACATTTTTTATTCGTATCTTTTCAATCTCTAGAAAGTACTCACAACTTTAAAGAAACTGTTTTAAATCATCATGTGCAACATCAATATTATTCTTGAATAAGTCTCCGTTTTCAGTATCTCCCCCACCTGATTGACACCACAGCAGATACCTATGATTTCAATACACCAGAGAAGTGGAGTCTCGTCTCTTTTTTCGTTGCTTAGATTAGGTATCAGCAACAAAGCTGTTCGGTAAAAATTGATACTGTTTATTGAAAATCATAAGCACCGATTAATCAAAAGCGATATTTATGTTTTAGTACACTTAATTACGTTCTTTGAATGAACATGTGGTACTCTTTTTTAGAAATAACGATAAACTTAATATCAGGGATATGATGCATAGTGAATTCTGAAAATGCACTACTTTTCGTTAAAAAGAACAACACATTATTCACGGGGCTCTAAGAAAATGACTTCTAATACCTGCTCTTCGGTATCTACACTATGTCGAATAGTAATAAATGTATTATTTGCCTACGATGAAATGAAACAGCTTCTTTTATGACATGTACAGCCCAGTTAAACACAATTTAACTAGAATGGCAGCAGAAATAACTTCTGTCCCATGCTACTTGCCTTAAAGTAAACCTTGACGTCTCTGTGTACATTAATCAGTCATCTTTGGGGGCAGAAGCGTCTGTTCAGGTCAGTGATGAACTTCGTGACAGTTTATGACAAACAATTGTCAAAATGATTAAATTTATAACCACACTTCTGTTTCCTTTTGTTGACGGAGGGGGATTCGGAAAAAATTCATTCAACTTTAGTATTACCGGATTTTTTGTTCTTGGCATAGGTAACTTTGAACATAGAAACGTTCGGATATAAAAGCAGCCTCTCTATTGGTCAACTTAATCGGCTTCCAGTTCTCACACGGTTAAAGCCTGGACAATTCTTTTTGCGAATTACGGCACAGTTCGGGACAGGGAACATGTCATTCACGGGAATGGCGCGAATTCTGGGACATCCTGTATAACTACGATAACCTTAAAACGGTTGCCACATTTTAGAGCATTCGGTTTTGTAGTTTCAAAGTTATAATTTAAAATGTACATTTTTTTTTCCCAAAAATCTGGATGTCCAAGGTGAAAACGCAGCACGGAGTCATACATCGCAAGTGCAGAAGTATCGTATTTTATAAAATTAAAAAAAAAATACAATTGCAAATTGTGGAATGACGTCATCTGCTCATTGGTGATGGGAATGACCAGCCAATATTTGGTTAGCGTTTTACGATCTACACGCTATTACTAATACACGTATAAAATTTTATAACAATTGGGACGATCTTCCTGTCTAATAAAAACTGACATAGACAACAGACAGACGGGGTCTTCAAAAGTCAAGAAACATAAAAGTGGCAAGTCGCCCGATGGACTCAATTAGTATCCTTCCTTAGCTTAGGCTCAGAAAGTCATTCATATGTATATATGTAATATCCTTGGTCGGAAATGATAATGGCACAGGTGACAAACATAGAAAAGCACAATATCAGTAAGCGAATTTTTTTTCGTATTGGTTTCACAATTGTCGCTGCTATCCTCTCTCTGATTCCCTGCAACCGCCCTCCGCATGTCCTGCTTCCACACGAATGTTTTGTCTATGAGTTTGTTTATATATACTTGTGAGTAAGCGAAGAAAAATGTTGTTACCTCGATAGGAATCGGACCCTCATCTCTCACTTTCCGGGCAAGCATCCAGACCACTACACCACGAGGAGACTTATCTTTCTCCGCTTACCAACGTGTTATTGTGCCGCCACATACTGTTTCATTGCAACGTACGAAGTCACAGATAAACAAATGACTGGATATTAATTTATTTTGGAGTTTCTTCTGGATATTTTTTTCTGCATTCATTGACGTATCATGCGAGTACTTTAATTTTGTCTATCATGCTAATAACAATGGGAAACGAATCTATTGTATTCTCACACTGTGGAGAAAAGAGGGTACCTTTTTAGTTTTAATGTGGAAAAAAAATTGCAACGCTGTAGGATTCGTACTCGGGACTCCCACTGGGAAAACAAGTCTTACACCGCCCATTACGCTTAGTTTACGGAGTCATGAATAATGTGACAAAGGAGCGGGAAACTTAAATAATTGACTGATTCATTAATTTTTTTTTACTCACTCTGTATAAGCAAAATTAAAAAATACAGATGCAGTGATGAATTACAAGTATAGTCTGATCATATTTTGCACATTTTCGAAAGGTTTCAGTAAAATTTTGAGATGACGTAATACATTTTTTAGGGTCCGTGTTTAGGGTTGATAAACAGATACATCCTGATTAAAAAGTTACCATGACTCCAAAAAGTCTGCAAGATTCAAAGTATTCAATTTTGCAATTCTTGATTTAATCAGTAAAATAAATTAACTCAGTCATTAATTTTTTTGTGACACCTATATGCAAATCTAAAAAATATTAATGCAGTGATAAATCACAAGTATAGATAGACTCATCAGCATGAGATTTGGCACATTTAAAATAGGATTTATTCAGTTATAATATAAGTGATATGATTACACAGGCCTGCGAAATATAACTTTTAATTTCCCTTTTAAATAATATTGTTTTTTTTTAGGTATTTATGTATGCTGAATTAAAATATAACTCTAGTTTTTTTGTAGCACATCGAGATTTATTTTTATGTAGGCCTAAATATTCATAGTTTCTCAAACAATTTTTCTGAAAAAATAAAATATAAAGAATATAAAATTGAATGTTTATTTATTAAATGAACTAAATTAGTTATAAACAAGACTTAAAAAAAACAAATAAATCAAGAAGCTTCTTTTTTTCTGTCTTCAAAGCTCTGATTTAAGCGTTTTCTCTTGTATTCACGATAGGATATGTTATTGCTGTTACATTTTTCGCATTATATCATTTTATATTTGAACAGCAAAAGTAACAATCGTCTGTATGATTTTGTGGCTCCATCCAAATCATTGGTGTCAGCAAACTTATCTGAAGAATTAACCCATTTCCGAGAAGACATTAGTAATTTTTGTTTAAATTCAGGGTAGTAAGCGCATAGTCGACACAAATAACTCTTACTAAGCTGAACACGAAATGAAATATCAACACCATTATCCATACATATTATTACCACAAAATCTAGAAGTTAATTTTTATAGTACTAAGAACAAAACTGAAAAAAATATTTTTTGCAGAAACTGTACGTGATAGAAATTTTTGCAATTTTTTTTTATACATGAGTATCTAAGACCTACCGAAATTACTACTTTATTTTGTTGGGGGAAAACCATCGCAGGCCTGTGTTATTATCGATAATATTTCGAGTGAAACCGAGATGCAGATTCAACGAGTGCGAAGCACGAGTTGAATGTGCTGCTTCGGTTTCACGAGCCATATCTTCGATTATTAATCATATCACGAGTTATATTTAACATGAGAATATAATAAATGAACACATTTTTTGATAACAGAATTGATTTCGTCGTTTTGAGCTTGCCCCCAACGTTGGCAAGCCATAAAAGACAAAAAAATTTATGAAATTCTAAAATTTGTCAATTTGACAGTTTTTAAATTTAGGTAGCAACAGACCACAATAAGGCAATAAAATTATTATCAGTTATAATATAACAAGTGATATGATTATTATCGATAATATTTCGAGTGAAACCGAGCTGCAGATTCAACGAGTGCGAAGCACGAGTTGAATGTGCTGCTTCGGTTTCACGAGCCATATCTTCGATTATTAATCATATCACGAGTTATATTCAACATGAAAATATAATGAATGAACACATTTTTTGATAATAGAATTGATTTCGTCGTTTTGAGCTTGCCCCCAACGTTGGCAAGCCATAATAGACAAAAAAATTTATGAAATTCTAAAATTTGTCAAATTTGACAGTTTTTAAATTTAGGTAGCAACAGACCACAATAAGGCAATAAAATTATTATCGCTGTGATAGACATGTAACTAAGGGCATGAACAAATTCTATTGGAAGAAATGAGGTCATGTGATACATGAATTATATTCTCAATTATAATATAACAAGTGATATGATTATTATCGATAATATTTCGAGTGAAACCGAGCTGCAGATTCAACGAGTGCGAAGCACGAGTTGAATGTGCTGCTTCGGTTTCACGAGCCATATCTTCGATTATTAATCATATCACGAGTTATATTCAACATGAGAATATAATAAATGAACATATTTTTTGATAATAGAATTGATTTCGTTGTTTTGAGCTTGCCCCCAACGTTGGGAACCCATAATAGACAAAAAAATTTATGAAATTCTAAAATTTGTCAAATTTGACAGTTTTTAAATTTAGGTAGCAACAGACCACAATAAGGCAATAAAATTATTATCGCTGTGATAGACATGTAACTAAGGGCATGGACAAATTCTATTGGAAGAAATGGGGTCATGTGATCCATGAATTATATTCTCAGCAATATATCACTGGCAATATGTTGAGGTGACGTCATCAATTTTTTAGGGTGAGCAAATACATTTTGATCATTTTTTTTTTGTCTGTTATGGCCATTCCATTGGCCAGTGCTTTCGAGCAGGTCACTGGAACCACCATTTTCTTGAAGGAACTGGAAGAGCCGTCCCTTTATAACCCTAGTTAAAAACGTGGTATCTTCCTTCTCATTCTACCTTAATCACATTAACTTATACAGATTAACTTCCAAAATAAAACCAGACAAAATTAAATTTCATAACTGATTAAAGAAAGTCAACGTATGATTGTATTTCAGGTACAAAGGAAGTTGTTTAAATAATTTTTGACCTTTTTTTGTTTATTTGGTTTTGTTTAATTCTGTATATTTAAGGTGGTCTTATGATACACCATATATGTGAAATGCATTGAAGATTAGTGTCAGTCACTTAATAATTTCGATTAAAATACTTTGAAGCAATCTTTATAGTGACCTTCTCTTAGAGGATCCAGTTTAATTAATTCTGTGTAATAACGCTTAAGTCTGCAAATAGCATCTTTCTCTAAATTTCCTTGCTTAACCAACCAACATTTAGCCATAATTATCCCTAAAAATGACACATTAACATCAGTTGAACTCCCATGAAATGTACATTACATTTACACTCTGGTTCTAATTCTTGCAGTTGTTCTAAAGCATTTAGTAAGTCTTCTTTTTGAATTTTCGTTATACCAGGGTGGCTTAAAACCCACCTCAAATAAAACCAAGCACTGGTATCAATTGGATCTGTAAATACAGCATTTTGAACCAAAATTAAATCATTAGCCACACTGTTTTCATCATTCAGAATTTGCAATGTGCTCCTATAATGCCATGAAGAATAATTTGAAAAATTAATATTTATTCGCTCTGTTGAAAACGCTATTTCATCAGCCAAACTTATACCAATTTTGTTAACTATAAGCCGTCGAAAATCCCAACAATGAACTAAAATTGTACTTATCAATATCAAAAAAACAAATATAAATAACTTACAATTCCTATCATCTAATGATACATATTTGTTACATAAATCAAACTCTCTTTGCCAATTTGGTTTAGTGTGATGATTCAAAATCCAATAACGGTGATGCCAAGATCCGTAAGATTTAGGATTAGAAAGAAGACACTGCTCAGTTAACCGCAACTCCTCTTCAAAAAAATGTATCAGCTTCTGATCATCAGCAACTTCATCCTGATAACTATTTCAATAATGAAAGATAACCATCAGTATTCCTAACTGACTGTGACATTTAGATTTTACCTCTTTTTTATTTCTATTAAAACAACTTCCTTTCGATAGTTCCAAAGTGTATAAATATCCGGATTAATGGTAAGAAGCTGAGCACTTAATGCTAAAGAGTCTTTATTATAACTATCAGCATCCCTAGTGGCAAGAATCTGTTTCATTCCCATACGATAGGCAGTTAATTTTTTTTGTTGTTCTTTGTGTTTTTGTAAGTTCTGTTCTTCGGTGGTCCTCACCTTAATTCTTCCATGCTACAATAAATTTGTGAATTACAGGAACAAAAAAGCTACATAACATTTACCATTTTGTGTTACGATAAATAATATATAGTACTTTTACTTAATTAACGCTTCTTAACCTCAATAGAAGCCCGACACGTCAAAGAAACAGGCAAACAGGAGGTGGGAGGTGCTAAATATTCCGGCAGATACCGACGTTGGCAAATTGTGCTTTATAATATCACATTCTAATCTAAATTATGTAAGTACACTGTACATTAGTCATATATAGATATATAAAATAATTAGTAAATAATTATGTACTTCTAAAGTAAAATATGAAACGTAAATACCATATTGAAGAAGCGTTTTATTTATTTTTTGTAAAAAGCACAAAAAACACGAGTAGTAATTTGTAATTAAACCAATATAAAATACATTTGAGTACCTAACTGTCACTTCGAAACTTGGATGTGTTTCTTTATTTATATTTTGACGGTATTTCAAATAATAAAGTTTCTTTCAAAGTAGTATTGATTGTCCCGCATATTTTTTTTAATTTAACATAAGGGCCGAGGGGCTCTGGAAACAAAAGATATGAAAGATGTAGGACGTAGTTGAATTACTTGCATATAAATGCCATTACAGGGGATGCGTTTATGTTGGAGCAACGATAAAAGCGAAGAAAGCGACGATAAGAGTGTAGAGAAAAATAAAAAAATTACTCTTTCTTTGGTGTGTTTATGTTGGAGCTACGATAATAAACGATGCGAGTGTAGGTATGATGTTGCCGGGTTGCTTTCTGTAGGTGTTGTACAAAGTGAACGAGTAAAAATGGGGGATGCAGGTACTCCACTTCCTCATCGGAAAATGATGGTGAGCTGCTACTTATGTCGAGTGCCGAAAAATGGTACCTAAACAGCCGTTAGCCGTCTAAAACAAAGACGACAATTTATTGCACATTCCGTAAATGTAAAAAGGTATCAGTGTGGAGAATTTCACTATTTGTATCCGGATCTGAGAAGACACTCGGATAGATTTTTGCAATACATACCAATGACCACAGATACCTACCTTCGATTACAATAGATCCACGCTTAACCCTTCGACGTCCATGCTGTTTGTAATCAAAAAGTCTGGACTCGCGTGGTGGGAACAACGATTCAAAGCGAAGAAAAAGACAAATTGTGTTCTCTTCGCTCAATTCGCTTAACGCGCTGCTTCAACATAAACGGTTCCATTTAATTATGTGTTCATTTTTGCTGCTTCGTTCTTATCGTTGCTCTCTTCGCTTAGCGTTGCTCCAACATAAACGCACCCTAGTACATATAATCCCTACAAATTAAGATTAAACTAATTAAACTATGCCTTGACTTTGACTATGCCCTACATCTTTCACATTTTTTGTTTCCAGAGCCTTACGTCCAATTTAAAAAATTATGAGGCAAGTATTGTTGGTTGCATGTGCTTTTAAAGTGTGGTCACAGTATAGATATTAATTGATCTCTATACTGTGGTGTTCAACTTGGCAACGTTCTCTATCAGTATATTCAACTTCAACGCCTCCTAAGAAACTGTCATCCGGCTGTCAAATGTAATCATTACGGTAATTACGTTTAGATTGCAATACAACTGGCATTACAAGTAAAGTACGAGTCATATCTGATTTCGTGTCTTTTTATAAAATCTTTTATTCAGTCGTTTACTAAACAGTTCGTCACGAACATTTTTACCTGGGCATTAGTTTTTATAATTACTGCGACAATGCGGCATTTGGTGTACATGTTCCAAATAAAATAAACAAAATTAATACATCAAGTTTCTGTGTAACTCGAAAATTGATTCTGAAATATTTATATTTTCTTAAAATTAATTTATAAAGACAAAAATACAATTTAATTTTCAAGAAATGATACAAAGTCTGTCAGTTTGTATAACTGATCTTCACTGCTTGTTTGGCCAGATGTTTCTGAAATAGGTCTAACAGGATGAACCATTCGAGTGTCTGCTTCCACTTGCCAGCCTCGTTCTACACATGCAGCAGCACAAATATCTGGTGGTAAACCAGTCATTGCTGACACAGTATCTAATGTTATTGAAGAATATGCTTGTGCTATTAAATCTACAGATCTACTCCTCACTCTATCTGTAATTTCAGCAAAAATATACTTTAAGTTATTTACACTCTCCTATAAAATATACCTTGAACTTGTTTCATAATATTAGCTACAGAATCTGACCATGTTACAGAATTCAAGGCTTTATAAATTCCCGGAAAATCTCTTTTCCACATATTCTGAGCTACAGTCCAAACATTTGTTAATTCAGGAGTCGAAGCCTTGACTGACGCTGGTATTCTTTTCCATAAATATTTTGCGTTACATCTGTAAACAAATTTCATTTTAGTTGGATATGTTGCCTAAATATCAACTACTTACAGATCGTTTTCATATAAATAAATGGCTAATAGTTGTTCATAAACCTGAGGTGTTGCTATACCATTTTGAGCCTGCAGTAAGTCAATATCTTTAATTATAAGGTTAAATTCTAACGTAATTATGACTTACTTCCAACTCTTGCTTTTCTAAATCTTCTGTTAACTTTATGATATCACTTGAAACCATTTTTTGTAAAGATTACGGTGGCTTGATCTGCTTTAACTTATATTTCTTTTAAAATTAACTAAAGCATTTTTTCTATCAATCACAATCACAAACACAACCAAAATGTCAAATTTGACACGATCTACCTTCATCGTACAAAACGAACATTACCGATTCGTTCGACGAAGAACCACAGTATAGATATCAATCAGTAGAGACAGTTCGCCGTTTTTCGTGACCCGTTTTCGTGGGTGGTCGTTCGCATTATGACCGAATGAGGGCGTCCAACCGACGTCTAAAATATTTGAAATTTGGCAGTTTTGTTACAATATTTTTGCCGGTTTTGCTTGTTTAAGAGTGCTTTTCCGGTAGAATTGTACAAATAGTATAAAAATGTAATTTTCACAATAAAAGGTAAAATCTTTGTCCGATGAATTTTCATACAGGATCCCTGTTGTGCGCCTTATTCTCTCCATCGTGTTTGGAATTCTTGGAAAAGATAGTAAACATAACACACTTTTTGTTTAAAAAGTCGTCGCGAACGAACAACAGCGGTGGTTATGAAATAAATAATAAAAATTTATTATATATGAATCCGTTGTTGTGGTAGAATTAAATATAAAAATAATAAGAAACAAACTACACGTAACAAAAAATTATATGAGCAGACCTTCACTCAATAAACAGTTTTTTTATTCATCATGTATATATATGTATATTTTTTTGACCTACACAATCTTGAGTTTTATTTTGAGACGTTGCTTAACCCATAAGCAATCGCGCGTGGGTAAAAATGACCCAAGCCGTACATTTTGTCAAATATCCTATTTCGCTTAATTCCTATGGACTTCCGGTTTCATGAATTCCTTAATTATTCTTACCTGCGTCGACCCATACCAATTACCTGCACTTTATGTGAGCCGACAAATATGCATTTTTTTTGTAATAATGTTTTTAAATAAAAATTTTACTTCATATGATATTACGCTTACGGGTTAAGTTGTTAGGTAAAATGGGTTTGACTATATATTAACAAAATAATTTCTTTTTTTACATTTGTGAATTGGAGCAAATTTTTAGTGAACATTTTGAAAATATAATTTTACAAACAACTACTTTGTTGAAATTTTTAAATTTATATAAGCAAGCTACATTTGTTCATCCATGCCAAAACTTTCCATACGACTGTTTGCTTGCTTTGTATGCTAGGATGAGACTATTTTATGCACTAAAATTTGTAAATGCTAGCTTTAAATTTACAAATGCCAAAGGTGAAAAAATTAATAGAAAGAAAATAAATTGGCAGCATTAACTTTTTTCCTTTTTGTAATTTAATTTTTATTTTATTTATTTTTTCTTAAATAAACCTCTTTCTTTTTAGATGTATTTATTACATTATTTTTACAATGATAATTAAATCTCAGTATTCGGGGAAAGAATGTGCGAATTGTCAAATTGTATAAGTAATAAAATAAAAACTGTAACAAATCATCGTGTTTATAAACTAAATATCGACTTTTAGTTTTTCTTATTGCGATTCACGATTATACGATTTGAGCAAACTACACAGTTTGCAATAAATTGCGTACACGAATCAATTTTTGAAATTGTAAATGAAGTGATACTTTTTAAATTGGGTGGCGACATCTAGGAATAGTTTAGGCAACGACCACCCATGACGGCTTAAAATTCGGGTCAGAAAGAACAAAGGCACCGACACGAGCTGTCTCTACTGATTGATATCTATACTGTGGAAGAACAGGAAAATTGAAACCGCGCTTCTTGAATCGCCACCTACCATAAATATTTATATTGATCCAATAGCAACTGGTAAACAATTAAGAAAAACCGTCTAAGTTTATTTCGACGGAACTTCCTTCGCCCCTGAAGCACACATCAGCTCTTTCGAAAAATTATAAAATTTGATGAAGTATATGCAATTTTTTTTTATGAAAACTCTTATAATTTAAAATAAAGATATGTATGTAACGTTAAAGTCAATGTAAAGAGACGTGTTGCGCGTACGTTTCAAATGAGTTTTCCCTTAACAAAATTTTGTGTTGACGTCATCAACATTTTGCAAAGACACTTTGGACCTTAGATCATATAATAATTTATTATATGATCTAAGCTTTGGACAGGTGCAGTGTAATACTAATGATAACAGTATTATATTCCCAATTTTTTTTCGATTTAATCAATAAAATTAATTGACTCATTCATTAATTTTTATGAGTATAAGAAATTTAAAAACAATCATAGACAAGGTTAGACTTATCATATTTTGCACATTTTGGATAGGATTTATTCGGCAAAATTTTGAAATAACGTCATCAATTTTTTGAGGGGGATAAACACATGCACAAAAATTTACCATGCCTACGATAAGCTTAGAACGTCTGCACGATTACAAAGCATTCAGTTGTGCAGTTCCTGATTTAATCAATAAAATAAATTGACTCTTTCATTAATTTTAAGTATAAGTAATTCTAAAAACTATGAGTGCGTTGATAAACCATAAGTATTGCATTTTTAGAGATGCAAAATTTTTAGGGGGGATGAGCAAATACATTTTGATCAAAAATTTTCCATGCTCATGTTAACTTTAAAACATCTCCAAGATTTCAAAGCATTCGGTTTTGAAGTTTCTGATTAAATCAATAAAATAAATTCACACATTCATTAATTTTTTTTTTATAAGCAAATCCAAAAAATATGAATGAAATGATAAATCACAAGACTCAAATAACTCGCGAAAAGTCAAAATCTATTGAAACGAGAAATCGGCATTAAACGAGCTGTGATGCGGTAGCAGAATGCAGGTTTACTTAGATTCTGACTTGGTTGGAGATTTCAGTATTTTAAAAATGCAATTCCGGAAACTACGACGATGTTTTCCAGTGGCGGCTCGTGACTGTCTGATGTGGTGAGGCGATGATAGAAGTTTGACAATAATAGTAATATTAATTGGTCTTACTAGTTAGTAATGATAGAAGTCTTGCCTGAATACCGGTCATTCCCGGGTCAGTGGTAGGTCCTAATAGTAATATTAATAATAATAATAATAATAATAACACCCATAACACATTGAATCAACAATGTTTTTACAAGTCAAAATTTTGTTGAAAGTAGCACTTTCTTGGAGGGATTCGGGAATAGTTGCTGTGTTCTTTTCTAAACGTTTTAAGCCCATGAAATTTTTAATGTGTACTTTGGAACTTTCATGTAACTTTGCACTTCGGATGAAATTATTTAAATCGTTATATCCCGGGACGTCCTATAAATATTACGGCAGAGCCATTTATATGTTTCGTACCAAGTTGATTTAAAAAACTTGGAGTACTGACCATTCTGTCGCTTATCAATGGAAGTTAAATGAATTAACGGTTTTGACTGCTCGATATTTAGCAAAATTTGCCGACGTTCTAGCTCGGTTCGCCGTGAAAACGGCGTTTCAAGAAACAACATGACGATGTCGTACTCGGGATTCATTTTTCACTCACCTGTACCTATGAAAGAGACAATAACACAAAACACCAACACGTGGGTTTTTATTCACGTTCATGCTAATTACCCACGCACCCCGCAACCTTACCGTTCTGTAAAATAAATGGAAAAATGGTTTAATGAGTACGTCGAAATTGGCCGAGAAGCACCGAAGATATCGCCTCAGTTCCGAGCGAACGCATGTATAGGACTATAGGAGCTGAGCCATCGAAATCCCTGTCTGTGATTGGGCTTCGCTGGTTCAAGTGAACCAACGTTCTGGCCGCTTCAGTTAAGGAACTAGGGGCATAAATCGTACGGTATTCAACGGAAAATGTCAGCAGGAAGCGTAAAAAATAAAAAATCATGTACAGATTTCCCATTTCAACATATTTTTGTAACTAATGCATTGAAAACTCTTTTTTAATTATAAATTAAGTCAATCTGTTCTTAAGATACTATGCTGTGAGGCGCCGCCTCACTTGCCTCATCTGACGAGCCGCCACTGCAATGTATTTAGTATTGGGCGAAACCGAACCAGACGCCACCCTTAAAATAGGATTTATTCGACAAAATTTTGAGCTGACGTCATCAATTTTTTGGAGGGGATAAGCAAATATATTTTGACTAAACATTTATTATGTTCTTTATAACCTTAAAACATCTGCAAGATTTCAAAACATTCGGTTTTGTAGTTCCTGATTAACTCAATAAAATAGATTCACGCATTCATTAATTTTTTGAGTCACCCTGTATATGCAAATCGAAAAAATTTGAATGGAATGATAAATCACAAGAAGAGACTCGTCATATTTTGTACATTTTAGATAGGATTTATTAAGCAAAATTTTGTGGTGACGTCATAAATTTTTTAGGGGGCACGACCAAATGCCTTTTGATCAAAAATTTACCATGCTTGTTATAATTTTAAAACATTTTCAAGATTTCGAAGCATTCGGTTTTGTAGTTCCTGAGTAAATCAGTAAAATAAATTTACATATTCATTAATTTTTTTGAGTCATCCTGTATATGCAAATCCAAAAAATATGAATGGAGTGATAAATCACAAGTACAGACTCATCATATTCTGTACAGTTTAGATAGGATTTATTCGGCAAACTTTCGAGCTGACGTCATCAATTTTTTGGAGGGGATATGCAAATATATTTTGACTAAACATTTATTATGCTCTTGATAACCTTAAAACATCTACAAGATTTCAAAGCATTCGGTTTTGTGATTCCTGATTAACTCAATAAAATAAATTCACGCATTCATTAATTTTTTTGAGTCATCCTGTACATGGAAATCGAAAAAATATGAATGGAATAATAAATCACAAGAAGAGACTCATCGTATTTTGTACATTTTAGACAGGATTTATTCAGCAAAATTTTGTGGTGACGTCATAAATTTTTTAGGGGGGATGAGCAAATACATTTTGACTAAAAACTTACCATGCTGATGATAACTTTAAAACATATTCACGATTTCAAAGCATTTGTTTTGTAGTTCCTGTGTAAATCAGTAAAATACATTTACGCATTCATTAATTTCTTTGAGTCACCCTGTATATGCAAATCCAAAAAATATGAATGGAGTGATAAATCACAAGTACAGACTCATCATATTTTGTACATTTTAGATAGGATATATTCGGCAAACTTTTGAGCTGACGTCATCAAGTTTTTGGATGGGATAACCAAATATATTTTGACTAAAGATTTATGATGCTCTTTATAGCCTTAAAACATCTGCAACATTTCAAAACATCTGTCCAAGATTTCAAAGCATTCGGTTTTGCAGATTCAAAATTAAATGGCAAAATGTTTTATAATTTTGATTTTTTTTTCAAAAATCTGGACATTTCGGGTAAAAACTCAATTCGGAGTCGTAAACTACATGTGTAGGTATATGTTATTTTATACAATTTAAAACCCATTTACTATGTACAATTTTGAAGTGACGTCATCGCATTAGTGGTGGGGATGATTAGATAAATTTTGGTGAGCGTTTTACCTTCTACATGATATTGCTAATATAAGTGCAAAATTCCACAACAATCGATCCAGTACTTTCGGAGATTATCTGTCTAATAAAAATCGGGGACGGCAGACAGACGGACAGACAGACGGAAATGGGAGACCTATTTCTTCGTCTTCTAGGGGTCATGAAAGATCGAGAAAACGTAAAAGTAGAGAGTCGACCGACGGACTCGATTACAATACTTCCTTTGCTTACGCTCGGGAAGTAAAAATCGAACGTGTTGAACAGAGAACAAATTGTTGCACTCATGAAAGAAGCCCCAGATGATAAATATCTTATGCACAGGTATAAATGGCATCCTTGTACATTTTTCTATACATAACAATTAGTGGCACCTGTCAGTGTGATGAACTTGTGAATTTCGAATGTGAAGCTATAGAAGATGGTGGCTTAGTCCTTTTTATAAAATTACGCCAAACAAAGACTCATAAGAAACGTTCATTCACGGTAATTGACAATGGCGATATTTCGGCACTAACATTATGTAGGAAATATGTGCGTTTGAGGCTACTTAATATAAGTCAGAAGAGTTTTTTTTAACATTCAAGTAAATATACATAAATATTTTGAATGTGTTATTGTAAGAAAGCGCGTAGGAATAGTAGGTGCACAGCACAACCCGTCGGCAAAAACATGTTCGACAGCATCCCAAAAATCATTGCAGAATTTTTGTAACTAGATATGCCAAAGAATATACTAGGCATTGTTTACGAAGGATGTTTCCTACATTGCTCGTGGAAGGAGGTGCTGACATTACAACACTCAAAAAGGTCGGACGATAGAGAAGTAGAAACGTAGCAGAAGGATACTTAGAGAAAACTGTGCATCAGAAAATCAAGATGTCGGGTATAGTTTTAGACAGCGAAAACAAATGTGATGTTGCTGTTGTTGCGAAGTTAAAAAAAATGTGCTCCTACGTAGTGGAAGAAAAATTGGAAGAAAATGCGACAAACCAAACAAACGATCCAGCTACTGTTGTTGAGGCCTTGAAGGTGAAGAAGCGGAGCAATTAGCGGATCAGAAATGTTAGAATATCAAGAATATTGGAGAGAAACTTCCAGTTACCCACGAAAACATCATAATAAAACACATAGAAAATTTTCTATACAGCGTGTTATTGAAAGGTACTTAACAAAATAAAATTAGCAATTGATTTCGAAGTGTGGGTGCTAAAAGTTAATAAAAGTGCAGGTAAAAGTGTTCTCCTTTTAGAGACAAAAATTATTAAAAATTATGTCCAAATTCGTTGTACGCCTCCGATAAAAAGATCATCCCTCGTTTCTATAGCAACATTTAGTCTTGACAAAAGTTTTATTGTTACAGTTGCTAGGATTTACTAAAATAAATCAATTTTACCTATTTGTCTTTCAGTAGCGTCTAAAAAGGTTGGATTAGGGTTCATTTTCCCCTTATAATTTTGATAACACAAAATAAGTTTTACAGACTTCTTAGACTCGCGAAGAACTATCAATTTTGTTATACGTACCTTTCAATAACACCCTGTATGTAGGTAAGGAGAGAAAAATGTTGTGCCTTGGTGGGATTCGAACCGGGTAACCACTAGACCACGAGGCCACCTATCTTTCTCTGCTTACCGACGTGTTATTGTGCCGCCACAATATACAGAGTGTCCCAGAATTCGCGCCATTCCCGTGAATGACATGTTCCCTATCCCGAACTGTGCCGTAATTCGCAAAAAGAATTGTCCAGGCTTTAACCGGGTGAGAACTGGAAGGCGATTAAGTTGACCAATAGAGAGGCTGCTTTTATATCCGAACGTTTCTATGTTCAAAGTTACCTATGCCAAGAACAAAAAATCCGGTAATACTAAAGTTGAATGAATTTTTTCCGAATCCCCCTCCGCCAACAAAAGGAAACAGAAGTGTGGTTATAAATTTAATCATTTTGACAACTGTTTGTCATAAACTGTCACGAAGTTCATCACTGACTTGAACAGACGTTTCTGCCCCCAAAGATAACTGATTAATGTACACAGAGACGTCAAGGTTTACTTTAAGGCAAGTAGCATGGGACAGAAGTTATTTCTACTGCCATTCTAGTTAAATTGTGTTTAACTGGGCTGTACATGTCATAAAAGAAGCTGTTTCATTTCATCGTAGGCAAATAATACATTTATTACTATTCGACATAGTGTAGATACCGAAGAGCAGGTATTAGAAGTCATTTTCTTAGAGCCCCGTGAATAATGTGTTGTTCTTTTTAACGAAAAGTAGTGCATTTTCAGAATTCACTATGCATCATATCCCTGATATTAAGTTTATCGTTATTTCTAAAAAAGAGTACCACATGTTCATTCAAAGAACGTTATTAAGTGTACTAAAACATAAATATCGCTTTTGATTAATCGGTGCTTATGATTTTCAATAAACAGTATCAATTTTTACCGAACAGCTTTGTTGCTGATACATAATCTAAGCAACGAAAAAAGAGACGAGACTCCACTTCTCTGGTGTATTGAAATCATAGGTATCTGCTGTGGTGTCAATCATGTGGGGGAGATACTGAAAACGGAGACTTATTCAAGAATAATATTGATGTTGCACATGATGTCTCTGACTCCCGCAGGTTGTTATTGCTTACTTTCATCTCGGATTGTGATGTAAACAGTCAAAAATATTCTGCTAGTGAGTAAAACATTTAACTACAATTATGTTTATGAGTTTAAAAATAATGTAATTTTTTAATTTGGTATTTTACAGAAAACAGTCAAAAGGAGTAAAAATTCTGCCTTGACTTAAAACAAGTAAACTTGCGAGCATTAAAATCGGGCCACCTTCGGCAAGTTTGTATAGCGTGTTTGGACTGGCCAGGACGTAGCTCGGATATGAATCCTATAGAACATATGTGGGATGAACTTAAACGAAGAATTAGAGATAGGATCCCGGCTCCTGGGTCACTCCAAGAGCTCAGAATAGCCATTGAAGAAGAATGGGCTAATATCCCGCAAGAAGTTGTCGTCACTTCAATTGAGTCTATGAATAAACGAATGCGAGCGGTTATTAGAGCTAGGGGTGGCAACACCGAACATTAACATCATTTTCTTCTTTAAATTGTTGATTTTGGTAACATGAAAAATGTCGCCATTGAATAATTTTCTTTTTGCGGCAGGTTTATTAGAAACAGATGCTGCTGCATTTTCGACCGCCGGTGCCGGTCGCTAAAACCCGAGTTTATTGAGTCTATAATATTGCGATGCCGCCAAAAGTCCAGCTCTTTGCAGCAAAAAATTGGTAAATAGCAATGAACCATCGATCTTGGGATTACCGCACATTTTCGAATTTTTTATTTCAGAATGTAATTTGGGCAATATAAAAAAATCTAATAAAAAAAAAATGTTCGTGTGACCGGACCGGGTCCCTTGAAGCAGCGGGCCCGTGTTCCGGCGAACACATGGAACACCGGTAGTTACGCCACTGTTCTCTATCACCTGCTACTGAGTCCCGGCGATCCAGCGCGTCCCCACCTATAATCGTGACGCAGCCCGACAGAAATCCGCTGTCTAATAATGACACATTTTCTGTTTCTTAATCATTTAATATAAAAAATCCTTGACAGAGAATTTAGTTAACTGTATTGTATCACAGTTATTTTATAAAACATACTGCTACTAATACACTTAGAAAAAATTCTAGACTAGTTTTCTACAGTTATAAGAGTTTTTGTTTTGAGTCTATACACTCCGTTAATGAACTCTTTATACTAAAATCCAAAGTTATTTCACATTCTACAAAAAATAGTTATAACTTCATTCTAATTTTCACATAAACGAAGCACAAGTTTTTAATAAAATAAAAATGCAAAGCACTTAATTTCCATACAAATATCCTGCGAAGTGGAAGAATTACACAGTATCAGTCAAAACAATACAAACTGAAGCAAAAAAATGTATGTATATATTACTGATTTTGAATCTCCTTGCATGTAAGCACATAATACCCTTTATTAATATCTATCAACAAATTTAGTGTTTATTTAATTAAGGTTATTTTTTTTGTAATATTTATTCTTAAGCTGTAACTCCTACAACTATAGAACTAGATCTAGATTGTTTGTAAGAATTAATTGACATAAAAATAAAATTTGTCAAACTGTTGTATAAACACACGAAAAAAAAAAGAATCTACTTATTAAAATTCGCTGCAATTCTGGTTTTCCTGTATCTCCGTGGTTTTTCGTATCTTTGTCTGTTCTCCGCTCCAGGTCCCTATTTGAAAAGTTAAATCAATATTTTTTATGTTTTGGGTACTACCTTAGAAAAGTCCATAGCTTGTACCGTTGAATTCAGCATACCACTTTGGTCATCTTTTACATAATGTGAATTAGTGCTGTGTATTTTATTTGGATTTGTTGCAGTCCTATTCACTTGTTTCTTCTTTAAAGCTTGAAGAGGTACAAAATTAGGAGTATTATTAGTGTTTGTACTAAGTCTTGAACTGTGTTGTGCATAACCGTAACTCTTGGGTTCTATTTCTTTCCTGTCATAATCCGTCCAATTCTGGGGCCCCCTTTGATGCTGTTTCATCTAATAACATATGTAAAACACATATTACATACGGTATATTAAGACTGTAATAGTATATTACATAGCAAGAGTAGTAAAAAGCTTATTACACACGATTTCGAAGTTTGCAGGCACGAGCGTATGCGTATGCTCACCTTGATTTATTTTGAATCTGCTTTTGAATAAACGAAATATAACATATGCGTAAACTACGCGCACGATGCTTAACTTTGATATGAAAAAAATTGGTCTAAAGAGTTTAGACAGTACTTCCCTCGCTGTCGGAAACTTGACGACTGCATGGCTATTGTGTTTTTTCTCATTACATTTTTGTAGTGGGAATTTAAAAAAAATTGCGATGACGTCATCAACATTTTTGCAACGACACGTATATCAGTTGGGATAGATGTAGTGTAATACTAAGAATAAAATTATTGTATTCCCAAATTTTCGGAAAAATGAATTGGGTCGTTTTGAATATTGATTTTTTATAATCAATAAAATAACGAAACAATTTACTCACGTATACGGCAACTGAAAATCGTTTATGTATAAACATTTTTAATTTAAGATGACAAGCGTAACAGCATACGTGAGAGTCAAACAGAGAAACTGTAAACAAAACGACCATCGGTTTTATTGCTTCGACTTCCGCTTATTATATAAAACATTGGGTTTTATTTTTATTTTTGACGGTGAAATTCACAATTGGTTGATTATAAACATGTCTATTCCACATTCGCGGAACCTATAGTCAGCGCACAAAACAAATGCACGTCTGTAATGTTAAAGTCGATGTAAATAAGCGTGCTACCCTTATGTTTCAACCGAGTTTTTACTTTAAAAAATTTTGTGTCTACCAAATTGGGTTGGTCCAATGTAATACTAATAATAAGTGTTGCCTTTAATATAATCAATAAAATAAATTGACTTCATTAATTTTTTTGAGCCACCTCTTAAGAAAATCTAAAAAATATGAATGGAATGATAAATCACAAGTACAAACTCATCATATTTTTTGCATTTTAGATAGGATTTATTCAGCAAAATTTAAGGGTGACGTCATCAATTTTTTTAGGAGGGATGAACAAATACATTTTGAACAAAAGTTTACCATGCTTATAATAACTTTAAAATATCTCCAAGATTTCAAAGCATTCGGTTTTGTAATGCCTGATTAAATCGATAAAATAAATTCACGCATTCATTTTTTTTTTTGAGTCACCCTGTATATGCAAATCCAAAAATATGAATGGAATGATAAATCACAAGTACAGACTCATCATATTTTGTACATTTTAGACAGGATTTATTCAGCAAAATTTTGGGGTGACGTCATCTATTTTTTAGGGAGGATGAGCAAATATATTTTGATAAAAAATTTACCATGCTTATAATAACTTTAAAACATCTCCAAGATTTCAAAGCATTCGGTTCTGTAAATCCTGGTTAAACCAATAAAATAAATTCATGCATTCATTAATTTTTTTGAGACACCCTGTATATGCAAATCCAAAAAATACGATTGGAATGATAAATCACAAGTACAGACTCATCATATTTTGTACATTTTACATAGGATTTATTCAGCAAAATTTTGGAGTGACGTCATCAATTTTTTAGTGGGGAAGAGCAAATACATTTTGATAAAAAATTTACCGTGCTTATGATAACTTTAAAACATCTCCAAGATTTTAAAGCATTCGGTTCTGTAATTCCTGATTAAATCAATAAAATAAACTGACGCATTCATTAATTTTTTTCAGTCACCCTGTATATACAAATCGAAAAAATATGAATGGAATGATAAATCACAAGTACAGACTCATCATATTTTTCACATTTTAGATAGGATTTATTTACCAAATTTTAGCGTGACGTCATCAATTTTTTTAGGGGGGGACGAGCAAATAAATTTTGATAAAAAATTTACCATGCTTATGATAACTTTAAAGTATCTCCAAGATTTCACAGCATTCGGTTCTGTAATTCCTGATTAAATCAATAAAATAAATTGACGCATTCATTAATTTTTTTGAGTCACCCTGTATATGCAAATCGAAAAAATTTGAATGGAATGATAAATGACAAGAAGAGACTCACCATATTTTGTACATTTTAGATAGGATTTATTCAGCAAAATTTTGTGGTGACGTCATAAATTTTTTAGGAGGGTACGACCAAATACATTTTGATCAAAAATTTACCATGCTCATGATAATTTTAAAACATCTTCAAGATTTCAAAGCATTCGGTTTTGTAGTTCCTGAGTAAATCAGTAAAATAAATTTTGCGCATTCATTAATTTTTTTGAGTCACCCTGTATATGCAAATCCAAAAAATATGAATGGAGTGATATATCACAAGTACAGACGCATCATATTTTGTACATTTCAGATAGGATTTATTCGGCAAACTTTTGAGCTGACGTCATCAAGTTTTTGGAGGGGATAACCAAATATATTTTGACTAAAGATTTATGATGCTCTTTAGAGCCTTAAAACATCTGCAACATTTTAAAACATTCGGGTTAACAGATTCAAAATTAAATTGCTAAATGTTGTTTTATGATTTTGATTTTTTTTCCAAAAATCTGGACGTTTCGGGTAAAAACTGAATTCGGAGTCGTAAACTACATGTGTAGGACTATGTTATTTTATACAATTTAAGACCCATTTACTATGTACAATTTTGAAGTGACGTCATCGCATTAGTGGTGGGGATGATTAGACAAATTTTGGTTAGCGTTTTACCATCTACATGATATTCCTAATATAAGTACAAAATTTCACAACAATCGGTCCAGTACTTTCGGAGATTATCTATCTAATAAAAATCCGGGACGGCAGACGGACAGACGGACAGACAGACGGAAATGGGAGACCTATTTCTTCGTCTTCTAGGGGTCATGAAAGATCGAGAAAACGTAAAAGTAGAGAGTCGACCGACGGACTCGATTACAATACTTCCTTTGCTTACGCTCGGGAAGTAAAAATGTTTAAAGTAGCTCATGAATTCACGAGAATCAACTTGAAAATTTTAGATTTCACTTGGCATATACCAAGTGTCAAACTTATCATTTGGATAACAAAGGCAGAGGTATTATTCAAAATTTGAAAAGAATTTACTTTCATAAACGTTCAAACTGTTCGCCACTCAACAATGTAATGCAAGGATACTGCAACGTATAACTCGCGGTTCTTTTTAATAGTGGTAAAACACGTCGTATCTAAGCTTGTTTTTAAAAACTATGAATAAATCATTAGTGACCAATGGAAAAAAATACCTGAACTTGGTGTGATTTGTTTATAAAAATTTGTGACGGTAGTTTATTTTGTGATTGTTTATCTTGAACCCACTTTGTTGGTGGTACAGGAAATTTTGAAGGAAGCCCGTCTTTCGATGATCTAGATGTCTAAAATAAATATTACTAGGTGTCACCTGCATAAAAAATATTATCTTTTAACCTGTAATATGGCCAATGTGTCCATGGCGACATTTTCACTTGCTTCCTCTCTCGTCCTTGCAGGTTTGCCGCTGATAACTTTTCCATTAGGTAAAGCTACTTGAGCGATGAATCCATCTTCGTCTTCAAGATATGTATAACGAGGGCATCCCAATAAATTTGACTGATAATAACTCAACAAACTCGCAGTAGCACTTGTAGAATTCTAAAATTTCGTTAAAATTACTCTGCTAAATCATAAAAATTTGTTTTCGTTTATCACTTACTGTGCCGTGTTCTCTCTTACTGGAATTTCGGGAATAACTTCGTGCTGTATCAGTTCGTGGGGCAACGTAAGATTTTGACTGGTTTGTACTATTTTGAACATGTGGTTTATTTGTGTTTGAATTACTTTGGATGTTTAAGATTCGTTTTAAGAAATCAGTGTTCACTTCACTTTTTGGCTAAAATATCTTGTCAATAAATGTTTCTAACACAAAAAAAAACACCTTACTCTTGAATTAATTGGCTTTTGAGATAAACTCTGGGGTCCTTTACTAATTTGCTGTTTACTTTGTACATTGACACTATCGTCATTCTTCTAAAATACATACCAATAAATAAAAAAAAAAAGAAAAAAGATGGAAAAATAACTATACCTGCAACATCGAATTTTCTTTGTTAACTTTCGAATCAACAACTGTTTGAGTGAAATCTGCCATGTAATAAAATGTGTTTTTACTTTTTTGTTGACCATGAGATGGATTTAACTGTTGGTATTGTTTGGAATGAATTTGCGCTGAACCACATTGACTTTTGTTTTGTGAAGGTGCTGGCAAAAGCAGTGGTGTTTTATTAAAGGATGCAAATGCCGAGTTTTGTTTTCTGGGACTAATACTTTCCGAATTAGAAGTACCACCGTTGAAACTGCTTACAGAATGATGTTCCTTAGCCAATGCTCGTAAAGTTCCTGTAATTAGGAGCCAATTTACAACAAAAACAATGCAAAGATTATATTATACCTGGAATACCCATTTTCTGTTCCATCTGTCTTTTTCCGTGGGTTAGATTAATAAAAGAACTCTTTGGCAAACGGTAACCTTTATACTCCGAACAATTTAATGCTAAACCACCAGCAAAAACTTTGTCAAATACAACATCATACATTTCATCCTCGGTTTTAAGAGAACTAGCTGATTTATGAACTCCAATTACTGTGCCTTTTAGTCCTAAAGGCACAGTAAAACCTTCCCTTACATTAACAATTCGATCGAATAATTTGGTTGTAGACAGAGGATCCGGAGCTAAAGTTCCCATTTGAATTTCCGGCTGTAAAATGATAGTACCTTTACCAGATATTCAAAATTTTTGTTAAAATTACTACAGTTCAGAAAAAGGGCAATGTATTTGTTGCAAAATATCAACAGATATCACCTGAAAAAAAAAAAACAACTGCCATGTCATTATCGTATTTGTGTATTGAACAATGATGTTAACCAGAGATACGAGATGTATTATGTCTGAAACATCTACACTGTACACTTTTTATAGTCGCATATACGTTGTTGATAGTTTTTAATTATACTGATATCTGTAACTCCCACTTCTGATTGCACTGCTAAATACACAAATGATTCTTGTAATGATTTTCGTATACTAAATGAATCATATTAGAAATTAAGCTCAATTACAAATCTGAAAAGTGTTTTCATCGTTCATTAGTATGTTGATCCTGCCCAAACTCTTAACAAAAACTTGAATCACACTGTTCCACTTCAAATTTAATGCATTTTACAAAGCACTATTTTTGGGAATTCAGAATTATTTGAAATAAATCGGACTTAATCTGACGCGTTAATTTGAAAAAATTCATCGAGTTTAAGAACACAAACCGGCGGAAGGTGGTATAAATAAATTTTTAAATACAGCGTCGTTAAAATATAATAATTTCCTGTAAGTGTTAGGAGTGTAAAATTATATCATTTGACTGTAATTTACAGAATTTAAAATTTATGACAGTAATGGCCGTTTAATTACAACTAAAAAAATACATTTTGCCCTTTTTCCATCTTCTGATAAACAATAATTAAAAATTTACTTTATATAGCAGCTGAGGTTTCACTTGCATAACAAAATCCTTTGGGGTTTCTTCAAACTGATCAACAATGTTTTCAATCTCTGCCACTACTTCTGGTTCCAGTATTACGGTACCACATACCCGTCTTTCAATGTTGTATGTTGGCAGAGTTTTTAACCAAACTTGGATACTTCTTACTTTTTCATCACCCCTACCACACCAAATATCAAAAGCAGTTATAGACAAAAATGCACGGCACAATAAAATAAAAACACTACTGGTAGTGTTACAAACTACATAAATACCACAGCCATTGTAAATAGTTATTTATGTATTAAGGGCATAATTAAGGAGATTATGGCACGAGGGAATGTTTAAAGCCTGACGAAGGAGGGCTTTTAATTTTCCGAGGGCCACAATCGACAATTATGCCCGTGGACATGGGCAATTCCACGAAAATGTCAACCTCAGCACATTTTTTTGAAAATTGTTAAATTAATCTAAATGTTATAATTAGTAATCCTAAAAACTTTAAATTTGACTGGTATACATTTACTTTTACCATAACACCCGCAGTAAAAATTTCTTCTTATTGAGGAATAATAAAATTGTTTAAAAAAATGATAGATATTATATCTTCTTTAACATTGCTAGAAGCAAAGTAAGTATTATGATTCACTTACAATATGAAGCACGGCCGTAAAGAGTGTACCTTTATTGACAATGTACAATCAATACTTATCTCAACATCATCTTTAAAAAAATATTACACTTCTTTCTTCTTATGATAATTGGTGTAAATAACGATAAGGGACTAATTTTCATGGTATTCGTAGATATTAAAAATAATTGCAAATCAGGTTACATTATCTCTTTTTCTCGTTCTCGCTCTCTACTTTCATTGTACTTTTATTGAAATTGCCTTGTGATTATTATAAAAAAATCGCAGCGTTACTTACGCGAAACGGGATTATTTTCTTTCGGTGGCTTAGCTTTGAAATTAAATAAATTAGTCTTGACGGCTGTGAATCTACCAATAATTCGATTTTGCTGTGTTAATTAAAATTTTGATTTTGTGGTCAAAATGCCTTTAATATCCACTGAAACAGTAAGAAAACACTAACAAAAATTAAAGAGACTGGACAATCAGAATACTTAAAATCAACCAACCGAAAGTATCACCAGGAATATAGGGCAAACATAAGCTGCACAAAGAAAAAAAAACATTGCGATAAAAAAAGTTAAGATACTACGAAAATAAAAAGGGGAAAAGCGAGAAAAGCCAAAATGAAGGCAAACAAATGAAAATTTCTAATGATGGTAATGTCGTCATCAAGTAAATAAATTGTAAATTCGGTAAGTTTGAATATTTTTTCTTTTAGCATTTGATCCTTTTACTTTAACTTTACATACATTTGTTTATTTCAACCTATAGAAGAGGTTCTCATCAAAAAATAAAATTTGCAAAATCAAATTTTATAATTTTTTGAAAATGCTGGATATGTTTCATTGTACTTCATGGGCGAGGGAAGTTCTGTCCAAACAACCTTCGACCAACGTTTTCTTTGTTTAAAACACACATTTGCAATTTTTCTTACTTCCGTGACAGCTAATATTCACAAGAAACGATGACATCGTGTAAGTAACGCAATTTTTTCTCTTTTCAGACATAATAAAAAATAAACTTCTTCTCGGTTTCTGAACACCCGAAAATTAATTTTTTTATCAATATAACTGTTTTTGTATGATAATTCACAATTCCATAGAAAATGGACAAAATTTATTATCAACTCTACAGAAGACAGGTTCAAAGGTTTTACGTAAGTAACGCAAATTTTTAATTAAATTTTGACTAAATTAAATGAGACTATCAAATTATTGAGAAAAAAGAGAAAACAAATCTCTACGATTATGTTAAAAAATAAAAGTGAAAAGCACTTATGAGGAAAGTTTAAAATAAAAAAACTATGCAGAGTTCCTTACGATTTTAGCGTAAGTAACGATGGAATTGCCCACATATAACGTTTTATTCTATTTTAGTTTCTAAAAATTTTTAACGACATATTGAGTAGGTATTTCCGGCAAGAATGTGTGAATTGTGCCAATGCGAACTTTAATGCATGGCTGGTTATTATTTTGATGTTGTTAATGGATACCACGTTGTTTATTTGTTAAATAATTCGATTTTCAAAATGCAAACTGAAGAAGCGCAAAACGTTTATTCAAAAGAAATTTTAGAAGAATTTGAAGTCGGCCAGGGAATGATTTTAAGAAATATTATTTTTCCAACTTTAATAAAAATGTTGAATATCAAAGCTTATTTGAATTAATTAATGTAAATGAATACTCAATCCTTGTTTAGCAATTTTTGACTGGTTTGTGTCATAAAGGCAATTTATGCCCGCATTTGGGTGCTTATAAACAAGATTATAATTCTAAAATAGATTAATAAAAGCTTTCTGAAATTGAAATAATTTTTCTCTTCAATGTTTTTTACAAGTATATCCAGTCGAAACTTTTTATATCATTTACTCATTACACTGTGGCCACGTAAAAACTATACTAAGTTCATTACGTAGAACAAAGTAATATGGATAAATAATTTTATCTAAAAAATGTATTATCCTTAATCCTTAAATAACTTAATTTTTGCAAAAAATGTTTTTCCTTCACAACTTTACATGGCTAAAAAAATATCAAATGGGTCTGACTAAAAAAATAGGGCAAAGAATCGGCGGTGAATTGTACCAAGACAGAAACAAGTAGATATTATAGTTTCCGAAACTAAAAAAAATCTCACTGTTTTAAACACATACCCATCCTCAAATATCATGTCAGAGGCAAGGTCTTCGTTTCCTCTATCATAAAGAAAATCAATAATTTCTGGAAATTTGTCATAGTATCTTCTGACAAGGTCTACGGCTTTTTCAGTGTAATACCATGTGTTTTCAAGCTTTCTTGTGTATCCTGGTGTTTCTTGATTCTTCTTATTAAATTTTAAATCTAGTCCCACATTAACAGATTTGAGAGAACCGTCTAGAGTTCTTGTTGAGACAAATAAAGAGCCAGTGATTCTTGAAAATACATAATTCGATATAGACAATTGACTCGCAGCACTTGTCAAAGATAAGTAACTATTTTTTAACTTTTCGTCTATTTCTTGAGCCGTTAAAAAGTTGGGTTCTCCAACAAGAGATAACGATACCTTCACTTGATTACTTCCTGTTTCAATAACCTGTAAATTGTACAATAATATAGAGAATTTTAAGAAAACTAGTGAATATTACAATGCCCTGTGAACCATAGTGGGGGCATGTAAGAGAAAAGCAGAAACTTCCGTTAGGAAAAACATCAGCAATATCTGTATATGCTGACTGATATTCATCATGAACCTTAATATCAACAACAGTACTTTGCAGTGGATACGCAGATGTAATTTTTGAAAATTGTTTTTCCAAAGTTACCCTTCTTCCAGAAGTAAATACGTATTTTCGCCCCGTCATGAGTTGAACATGTACAAGAATATTGGTCTTTCCTAACTCTATTCCCATGCGATCTCTGTAGCTAAAAATATGTTTAAAATTAAAAAAAAAAAAAAACAAATTAAACTCACTAATGCGATATCCCTTCTAATTCACTATCAAATAATACTTGATTTTCAATCTTATATCCCCTGCTTTCGTTTTTACAAAAAATATATTTTTGTTTTTTATTGGAAACTGCCACAACTCTGCAAAAATGAAAATGTAGCTGGATACATAAATGATGAAAATAAAACTGACTTGGCTTCGACCAGATGGGGCCAACCTACCCACACCGTGTTTCCTAAAAGATCAATCGGAACTGACTCGTCAACAAAATATTGCTCATTTGGCATGATTTTCAATATCATATTATCATTTCGGCTGGGCATTTCAAATACCTTAATTTTGGCCTTTTTAAATTCAGCTGTATACCGTAAATGCTTCAACGTTGGAAAACCAGGATAGAAAACATCAAAACAAGCTCCAGGATATGCCCCTTTGATCAGTTTTTCTTTGGGAACTCTAATTTCTTCCATATCGACTGGTATGCAGCGAGCTTGATTTTGAACACTTGGAAAATAACTTGGTGCTTCATAAACCCCTAAATCGTCGTCAGTATATTCATACACCAGCATTGGTCCATGCTGATTTCGTTTAACTTCCTCGATACTTAAAAGTTTATTACAAGGTTTCATAGCTTCTAAAAGAACCTCTTCGTCGATAAAAGGCACTAACACAACCGCTTCCCACTCTTGTCGTTTTCCGTTTAAATCAGTCTGAAATTCTTCAGGATAATAACCTTTAATGATGGAATTTTCTTCAGTCATTAAATGATGGTAACATTTAGGTAAAAGGTTTTTGCTGGCAGTGGGAAGAACAGCTAATAATTGTTCATAAGGCTTAAATGGTTTTCCAAGTTCAAAATCAATTTTTAAATTGGCAAAACCTTTAACGTCAGAGATATACGGTGAATAATGGTGAGGGTAAAACCACGACCAAGAACAAACTCCGTTATAGTAATAATTTAAATTCCACTGAATGGCACGGACGTATCCTTCAGCTTGTTCTCGCATTACCTCCCTGAAATAAATTTCATGAAATACCAACAATATTCGTTCGATAATAATTTACGGTGTCACTTTTTGAAATTCTAGTTTATTTCTATAGTATTCATCTTTGAAACTCTTAAACGCTTCATCTTCATTTGAAGAACTCAATTTGTCTGACTCGTCTTCAGAGGTACAATCCTAACAAAAGTTAAAAAATAAGTTGTGTGTGATACATAGTCACAAAGATAACTCACCCATTCGTCAGTTTCTGCTATAAGTGCTGCTAATTTAGGATCCTTATTGGTCTCTTTGGGACAGTTATTCTCAGGACTATCACTTATTATTGGTTTGGACTAAAAAGAAACGTATGCATATTAAAACACTTTTATGGTACTTTTTTAAAAATATATGATTTTTAGTCACCTCTCACGATCTGTATGTTATAACTTATAATCAAAATGTTAAATGAAAAGTGTCTTATCACTTATCAGTAGATACTCGAATTGTTCGCGTTTTATGGTTGCGCACCTTATTTTTAACATTCAAGTTCAATTTATTTATTTTTTATTCGTTAAGTTAGATACTTTTTCACTTGTTTAGTTTTGCTCACTAAAGGAAATGTTTCATGACTGTAAACGTTCTTCTTCCCGCCTTAACAATTATTCTATTTAATTCGGATCAATTTGTACGATAGTGAGTAAAAACCTATTGAACAGTTTCACAAAGAGGGCCAATGATGGCACTACAAATAATCCCTAATAAATAATACCGTCAGGTAGCATTCACTTATGTACGTACTTCATCTTTTGGAACGGTATATATCCTGTCAAAATTAAAACAACAATACGTTTTCATTTTCCTAACACAAAGAACATTTCGTGGTGGAACCACTGAAAAGGCTGTCCATTTTCACTTTTCCAAGTGGCAATACTGTCATTTACGGACAACCACTCATACCAAAAAAATACATCGTATGGATAACATACACTTCAACTGAAAATTTTTAGAAACCAGGAAATGAGTTCATTGCTTCACATTGCCTTAGAAGATAAACGATGAAAGAAGTGCGTCTTGTATGTATAAAACTCATGCGAAAGTATCTTACAAAAGTTTAGTAAATTAACGTCATTAACCTTCTAAAAGGAAGGAAAAAATAAAAGTCTAACGAAATTTTAATGTTTTTTTTTTTTTTGAAGAGACTAATAGACAAATTTTGAGTAATGTCATTATTAAAATTTTGGAGCAAATATCATAAATTAATAACATGAGGGCAGAATAAGAGGAGGGAAGATAGTTTGAAAAAGCGCCTGAAACCGCGCTTTTGACTGAGATCATAAATGGTTCTTCCAGCTCCTCCAAGAAACTGATTGTTCCAGTAGCGTGCTCGAAAGCGCTTGTCCAGAGGCTGGACATACGATACGAGAATTAACATGCAGCAAGTCAATGGCATTGATTAAATACATATATTTATTTAATCGATGTTAAAGGTAAGATGTCAAATTCGTTTACTATTTGCTACCTGTGAACACATTCGTAACCAAAGTACACCGCCTCTGATCCTCTGTTGACAACCGATCGCTTCCGATGTAGTACGGAAAGGGTCATAAATGGCTCTTGCATGGAACTCTTTTGCTGGCGTTTCTTTAACGTTGGTTAAATGAGGGATGCTCCCGCCTGTCTGTCATATTACCTCCATGTTTAATGACTATATTATGCATTACTTGGCCACAATTACCACTTAAAAGCAAATAGTTTAATAACTCAGTGCAGAGAAAAACAAACTTTATAAAAAAATAATGCATATTTAACATTTAAAAAGTTGAAAAACTTTAAATTTCTATTATAGTTCTAATCATCATGTACATTTTTTTATTAAGAATATATGTAGTTTTACTACTTTTACTGAAAAAATAAATGAAAACATGTAAAAATCGAAATCTTGGCTTATCCTACACTTGCGCTTTTAACCAGTCTCATAACGTATATCAAATACTGCTGTAAAAATTGTTTTTACCATTTAATTTCATAATTTTCCTATAGTACTGACAACATTTTCATAATGACTGAGTGGGGAAAGCAATTTTCAGGTATTAATGAATTCCCACATTTTTCTAATTCTTGTTTAAAATCGTTTCTTATAATACAACTGAATTGATTGAACAACTACTTTGTAGTTTCCCTGTAGCACCCTTAGTTTTTAACATAGGCTTAGTCTGCAAAACTGTCACATTAAAGTACAGGTATGTTTTGGATCTTTCTTCGCTGCAACTACTATATTAACAGTCTCCAATATTTTTAAAATGGTTCTTAATGTATGCATATTAAAATACCACTATGGCTGAACAAAAATTATCTATTTATATTTTATATATTAAACACAAAATGGTACTGACCTGAACTGGTGTGTGAAATGTTTGTTTTCTTCCAGTTTTTCTTTCCATGTACAACAAATCATCTTGAGTTTCTTCAAAATTCTTCTGATCAATATTTGCCAGTTTCTTCATAAACTTCTCAAATCGCTCTAAATTTAAAGTACCTGCTTCATTGATGTAACCTAAAATTAAAAGACTCTATTTCTTTGTACGTTCATTAAACAACATGATAACTCACCATTGAGAGTTGGCAACACATCAATGTATGCTTCATAAAGTACTGGCAATGCACCATTTGCAATGTGCAAATTGGGTAAGTTTGGAATAAAATCATTGCCAACTAAGAATCCCATAAGTATCTACAAAGAAATATCAAAAATGACATCATAATTGTTAATAAGATCCAAAGATCATACCCAGTCATCGATAATTTTTTCTATATCAAACTCCATTGTAGGTACATTCTTCAACTTTTCTTTTAAGGGGGCAAATTCTAATTCTAAGTACTCCCTCATTAAAGACAAATGCAGCAAGTAAAATCTAATTTCTTCAGGAACATTACTGCGCTTAGCTTTCTTAGCAAATTTAACCTAAAAACTCACAAAATAAAAACGGCCTGCACCGAATGCATGCATTTTACTTCTTCTCGTAACAGTGAGAAGTGTGGATCATGTGTACACAATCCTAGCATAATAAGATCTGCATCTAAACCATACAAACAATGACGAGTGTTCGGATCATAACCTGGTTGAGCTCGAAGGTATCTAATATAATCCATAATTTTGTGTTCACCTTCTCCTGGCGTTTCATGACCAGATAAAATGACCTTACATTTTTTCCACATTTTGTCAGTTGAAATTTTCTCCACAACAAAATATTTCAGCTGTTCATGAAGTCTTGCCATGAATGCAGTACCTGGAGTTATGCAATTTGAATCAAATCGTTCAACATCTGGCAGCTTTTCTCCTTTTTTTAAAGCCTCTTTTTCTAATTTTTCTGCATCCTTAGCAGATCTAAAACGGCGTCCTCGCTGCTGATTCATTTTTGCCCTGGGAGCTACACCATCTACTGCCATGAAGAAAATCTTTTGTGGCTTGATCATTCGAAACAAAACTTCAATATAGTGAAAAATATCAGCAAAGATCTTCTCCTCTGTGATACGAAAATGAGGATTGTTGTCATCAGGATGTGAACACATATGTATAATGCCATTCATGTCTAAATAAAGGTTATCAAAAACTGGTATCTACAAGGAAACGTTGCATAAAAAGTGGATGATGTGAATATTCTCATGTTGTACCTGATAATCCCTGACAAATTCGCTTAAACAAGGATATCTTTCGCTAATATACCTGAAAAATTTCGGTACTCCCATGATTTCAACCTTATCAGCCCTAAAATAAGATAACACAAAGTAAAACAGATGCAGTGCAGATCATTACTTCTTTTACAAAAACAATGTCAGGAACTAAATCATATGGTGCAACGTAGTTTTAAGAAAAAAAGACCATGGATTCTACAGTTTGCAGAAGGCTAATAAGTAACAAAGTAAAAACAATTCACCACTTTAATAACACATGATCAAAATATGACATTTGTACAACGACATCTTTTGACATCTGATATCTGACATCTGACACTTGAATCTTGAATTAACAAATTGCGTGGAGCCATGTTGGAAGGTTAAAATAATAACGTTAATAAAAAGTAGCGAAAAATGTTCGTCCAGGGGTCACATGTAAAACACAAGTGTAATTTCTTTCGAACGGAAATTACGGAAAAAATCATTACAAGGCTATCGACGAAAAGTTCCAAGCATAAAAAAATTCAAGACGCAACCAGAAATACAATTTCAAGGTCATCTTTGATATTTCCATCGCAGTTATCCATTGTTAAATTTGACATTATTCGGCCGAATTGATGCAAAATGAATTCAAACAACGAAAAAACTGATATGATTTTGATATATCGTCACCTGAGAACTGGTTTGCCGCATAGACCAGGCCGGAATTCACTTTTCCGGATATACCGTCGTTAATTTTTATTGCAGTGGCAAAGAAAATTCCCACCCTTACTTTGCATTAGAAATTTAAGGCTTTGTTTTGTTTCTTTGTAGAGAAATTCTATATGAAATTGTTATACGTTAAGAAAGAATAAATGTTAAAAACTAATGTATTTGTAGTACTAGTTACTATGTCTTTGAAAATAATAGTGTATACCTAGAGAACCAACAAAACTACTTGCGCAAGACTACCTTCATTTCTAGTCCGTCGGCAATAACAACTTGTATTTTAACCAATGCTGACGATTCCTTCTCAGAACACACCATTTTAAGCTGCCAAACTCATCTTCTACTTGTCCGTATAGTGATGAGTATTTATTTATTACTATTGTGGTGACCGAATTTGAATCAAATTGTCGCGCTGAAATTAATTAACAGCGGCGCGAAATCACAGTTGAATAATTTGAATTTGAAAACAAAATTTCAAACAAAAAAATCGTTAAACATAGGCCTTGTGCACGTTTTGTTCTTTTCCTGATAGTTGGTAGCTCGCTAGGGGGTTTTAGTTAGAGGGTTGGTTATGAGAGGGCGGCTTGGGAGAAGAGAGCGGCATGTTGAAAAATTGTCGTGGGTGCATGGTGAAAAGACGCTGTAAGTAGCTAGGTTAAATTAGTTGGTTTGCTAGTTAATAAAAAGGGAGGAAGCCTTTGTTTAACGACAATCAGTCGTAACGCCGACGGTGCCTATTTTTCTCCAACACGTGTAGTGAATGAAATCTTGCGGCTTTTTAGTCGGAAAAATGCGATTTTGTGATCGACGCTAACACGTGTAAATTTGATTCATTGTTTGTAAATTCACAGTTCATGTTAAGAGTTTAATCATCAACTAGTGCTAACACAATTTAACAATCAGGATTATTTAAATAAACCACTTGCTAGAAGATTTCATGAAATTCACTTAATTAGTCAGGATAACACTTTTGTTTGTTTAATTACGAATGAGGTTTCTGGATGTATATACGGAAGTGTTAGATTATGACACTTCTTAATTCTTCACACAAGATTGCTAATAGTTCATTTACGGCAGTTAACTAATTCATACCGTGAACTGACGCGTGGTTAAAATAATTTCTTCCCTTAGGCAGTTATCATCGTTATCCTCATTACATCTCCGAAGTATTTCCTCACAACGGTAAAGATTGATTACATCACCTAGGCATGTCCTCGCAACGCTAAAGATTGATTACATCACCGAGGCATTTCCTCGCAACGTAAAAATTTACATCACCGAGACCCTTTTTCCTCGCAACGATGATTGGATATTTTTGTGTTTATTTTTTATGTGGTTTGTTGGGGTAACCAGTTCACGGTATTATAAACACTCAAAGTAAATTGTTTTTTTTTAAGTAACCAATCACTTGGATTATGACATAATTTGACATAATGTAAAATCCTTGTTTGAATCGTTGATAAAGTGTGGCAAGTATTAATCTCATGTAAATTTTGTTAACTTTGCAACTTTTCACTTCATACAATATTTCTCTATCTCACAATCTTAACCTCAGTAATTTTCTTGTTGTATAATTTTAATTGAACGTAAATTTCATTCTCTGCAGTTTTAACCTCACATAATATTTTTATTTGCACATGTTTATTTCACATCAGATCTTTTGTTTTATAAATCTTTGCTAAGTTTTGTTTCGTAAATATTTTGTTGATGAATGTTTCCATCGTATAAATTATCTGATATTCAATTTTAATCTCACCTAAGAATTATTTGTCGTTTAAAATTTCACAAGATTGTATGGTGAATTTAAATGTTGTTTATTGCCGCAACCGGTAGCCCCAAACTCCGCTTATATTATTATTTGACGCCACACGCCAGTAATAACTTGTGTGTTGCATCCAGTTACTTTAATTCAGATTTTGCTTTGTTTCTATTAAATTTGTGATTTTCAGATATTTGCATTGATTCAAAAACAAATACGTAGGGTTTTTGCATATGTTCGGTTTCCCATATGTGTATGTGTGTCAACTCGCGGTGGTCTCTTTCTTTTATATTTTTATGTGTTTCATTTGCGATATATTATATGTGGGTAATTAAACCACTGGGATTTTTTGGAGCTGAAAAGCGATTGCGATTCGGCCCCCATTGGGCAGCCTGAGGGCACGTCACGAGTCACCCTTGATCGCAGCTCCTTTTCTTCCTAGAGAGGGGTGCCATTTTTAGCCTCCTCCCAAAAATGTTGTCTATTATTTCTTGCGCTCACTACTCGCACGCAGTGTATGCTCAGTTGTATGAAAGAACGCCTTCCCGCCATTTTTCAAAAAAAAAACAACGTAGGTTCCATTTTGTTAGACGATCACAGCTAAGGTCAAATTTTGAATTTTGAATTTTTTGCGGGCCTTTCAAACTTTTCAAGTGTCAATTTAAAGGGGGAAGTTTGGGTTATCACACTATTTAATTTATTCAGTGCAAACAGTGCGTATGTTATTTTTTATTTATAAATTGTACTCTAATTTATGCTAGTACCATATTAAACATGTAATAAAAATTTATTGAAACCTATTTCGAATGCAAGGGTAATAAATAAAATAGGATAAATAAAAACTGCAGTATTTATTAATATCTAAGGTAAACTAATTATTACAATTTACTATTACCTGAAAATATTTCTCTGACAAGTTTTACTGCATGAATAGATGTACCAGGCGCGGTAGTAACTCCATAACCGCCATGTCCATAATTGTGCACGATTTTTAACTTTCGGTCATTAAAAATTTGAACGTCTTTCTCAACCCTTACTATATCTCTATGAGGTCTAAGTCCTACTCTTTCACCAAGAACTTTGGCACCCTTAAGACTTGGCAGCAGCGTTTCGCATCTTTCCTTTATGGAGAGACTGTCGTATTTATTTATGTTCATATCATAAGAATCGTACTGTCGACAACCACCCAAAGTTACAGAACCAATTCCTGGTATGATATAGGTATCATAATTTCCATAAAAGAAAGTCTTCAGCCAAGGAGCTTCTACTTTAATAACCTGACCTCTAATAGGAACGATTTTTTTATCATTACACAAAAATTTTGCTCCAAGTCCTGTGCAGTTGATTATCGCGTCGTAGTTATTTTGAATATCGCCAAATCCTTCAATTCTCTTGGAAATGAATCTGACACCTTTTGCTTTCAATTTCACTGTAATCCATGGAAGATACAGAGAACACTGAGTTAAAAGAGTAGTAAAAAAGGAGCCATATTTCCAAATTCCAGAGCAAAGTTTTAATTCTTCCTCTGTTGCTTGTCGATACAGAGGAACCAGTTTTTCAAGATAGTAATTCTATCACAGAAAAAGAAAAAATAATTATTAATAATAATAATAATAATAATAATTTATTATGTTATAAATTCACTTGTCAAAAATATCTTAATAATAATATGTATGCAAAAAAAACAAGTTAACTAATTTCTTATAAAAATCACAAAATTCCCTTGAGCTTTGAAATGCTTTTTTGTACGATCGTGTGTTTTCGAATAGTTACCCGCGTTGTTTCCAAGGCGGTAGAGTACATTTACCGACCGCCGATCGGTAAGGATTTTTGTTTTTCATAGGCGGTAAATGCAGGGCTAAGTTGACACTGTATTGAAATAGATATTTATGTAACAAGTACATAAACCAGGTCTTTATTGACAAGCCGATTTTAGTAGACGAGGGAGCGTAGCGACCGAGTCGATAAAAAAGGCGCGTCAATAAAGCCAGTTTATGTACGCGTTACATACAAGGCTTTATGTCTGATTGCAACAATTATTATAATTTTAAAAAATAAAAATTAGGGAAAAACAATTGCAAAATAAATTTCTGAAAATCTAGTCTACTTTTTCATTGTTACTACAGTAACCCATTGTCTGTTTACACAAGTGAAAATTATTTTGATTTGTGCCGTTTGGGTTTAAAGCTGAAAAATGCAAGCTAGTACATCTAACCAAGCGGAAAGTGAGATAACAGAGATTGCTAGGAGTGTTAAAGAGTCTTTACTACCATCAAAATCAAGACATTTATACGAAGAACCTTCAAACTTTATCGGAAGTGGTGCTCTAAAAAGAATGTCAAATCAACGTCGGAAGAGAGTATTTTGGTGTATTTCACTACAGAGCTTTCCTCGTATAAAAGTTCATCATTATGGAGCAAGTATTTCATGCTAAGATCAAGATCAACCATAAATTTACGTGAAGGAGTTGACATCGGTAAATTCCCATGTGTCATTGCATTTCTGAAGCGGAAAGGTGAAGGATGAAACTGCTAATATTAGCGTTGCGGAAAAAATTCTAGGCAAAAATTTTTCGGAAAAAGATGTTGCTGAAGATATGTTCAGTTGTGGAAAAGCAGAAGCAGTAATAGAAGCAAAAGTCGTAAAATGCGGCAAGGAAAATATCCACTATACGTTTTCTGGTAGTAGTTATGTTGTACATATTAAACATTGCGATCATGCCTAGATTATTTTAGTTAGTAAGTTTAATTGTATTCACGAAAACTGTAATAAAAACAAGTGTAAAATAAAGTTGTCTTTATTGTACTAGTACCATAAAGTACCACATTACGGCCGCTAAATTATAAAATAAAGTAACGTTTATAGAGCAATCGGACATAATAGATATTTATTTTATTAGGAGTTTAAGTGATACTTTATGTGGCGAGTATGGACGATTAAACGCCGAGCGATAGCGAGGCGAATTAAGTCCATACGAGTCACATGAAATCACTTAAACTCCGAATGAAATACAATATTTTATTTTCAAACGATTAATCTTCTTTTGAAATGATTATTTCCTATCTTCTTGCTTCATTAAGGAATTGCCTTGATTTCACTTACCATGGTTACTATGGTTGACAACCACTATGATTTTCACATATTTATACTCCGGCGGAGTATAAATGTTGTATTTATACGCCGGCGGAGTATAAGTAGTAGTTATACGCCGCTCAAACACGCTGTCATAGAAATGACACTTAAACCCCGGTAAGAGCGTCATATAAGTGTCAGTTATATGACGTTTGAAAATAAAAGTAATTTTGATATTTCAGTACAAAAAAATGACACTTCATCTTCATAGACGTGATTAGGGACATAAAAAATTAATTCTAAATAAAACGATTAGATTTGTAATGGTGGTCTAAAAAAAGATTTTCTAACCTCAAAACCACTTAAGTGGTCATTAACACGGTTGTATAATGATAGGTTTGTACACTAATGGCTTGGGATGGCGACGCTTCTTTTCGATCCCTATATCCATGGAAAGGACACATACAGCTAGCGCCTCTACCTTGTCGAGCGGAAATCGTTCTAGTTATTTTGGGGATTTTCGTTTACATTGCTTTATGAACAATTAGCCAATAACATAAAGCACTATATTAATACAAGCAGACGCAAGCAATAAAAGTTTGCATCTTAGGAACTTTTACGCTGTAAGATTTTCGAGTCCTAGGTTGGTATGTTGATATGTCGTTACTGTTTTGTGGGTGGTACACATCTTTGACACACAGTTGACAGATCAACGTGTTTGAAATAAAGGTTAGTCTATGAGGTTAGTGCAATATTTACACTACAGATAAAAAAATTGAAGTTCTACACTTTGCTAAATAATGTATACATATGTTATGCATATTACAAATTTTAATGTAATCCGTACAATACACACTTTCCGCCATGAAAAACGGGCGACCCGCATTTATAGAAAATGATAAAAATTCAATAATCAAAGTGTATATATAATAAAATAATATTTAATTTTGAAAAATTATAATGGCGGAATTTTTTCATCGTCGCTAAAATTTAACAAAAGGAATCACATATGTTTGTAATCTGAACTTTAAACAACAAAAGGCTAAGCAAATTATTGTTTTTGACAGTGACGTTTCGTACTCGGAATAATAACTGGAATGTTACTAGATTTCAAATTTCCCACTAAAATTCTGGGATTCAATATGGCGGATGCGTCTGCTTGTATAATAAAGTGCTTTACAATAACACGTGACGTCACGCTGTGGCGGGAACTCAGCGTTTGACAAGCGCCGTGAAACTCCATAAGTGGCAATGTTAACATTTTCGCATTTCATTTAAAAGTGTAGGTATTTATCTAGAAAATAAACACGTGAATAGCTTCTTTCATATCTTTTCTGTGTATCAGGGTGCTTTTTTTAGCGATTTGAGTTTAAAAATACATAATAAAAATAAAAATACAGAACGCTGTTTTGGTCTGAATTCCTCGTCACCCAAAATACATCCGTGTGTTTTAAGCGGTAAATCGGAAATTAATATTTTCGTTTGAGGTTAATGTGACGGGTTTAAGTGAAGGTGTGTGATTTGTTTTTAAAGTATGGATAATTTAAGTGATTATGCACGACGTCTTTCTTTCAAAGAGAAAAACAGATATGTACAAAAGTTAAACCATTTTAAACGGCGGAGATCCTTATACAATGAGTGCAAGTGATTTTAATTTGTCTTTAGACCATGTCCCTACCATAACAATGAATACCATTCTAAACTTTTTTATTTTTGGAATAAGTAAAATAACCCACAATGAAATTCGTGCATTCAAAAGTCTAGAGGCATTTATTCAGTTTTCTTTTTTTTAAACAACTGTGTCTTTCAAAATTACAAGTATTATGAGTGGATTTATTTTGATATCCTAAATTTTGTGATGGAACATAATCAGGATGGTCCACATCCGACAAATCTGCAGGTTTACCTAAAATACTTTGGCTTCGTTAAATCCACTCGTTTCAAGGCTTTTAACCAAAGCTTCCGCTTTTTTTTCCCATCCTGTATATATTTACCTTTATTGTTTCTAATTGCTGGGAAAGGAAAATAAAATTTGTCCGCATTTCTGGTGCTTCGATTCGCGCAACCCACAACAGCACAAAATTTAGGCATTTTCTCCTAAAATACAAAATATTATAATATTAAGATGCTAGTGTATTTAAAAAACATTGATGTACATTAACAAAGAATTAATTTGCAAAACAAATGATATAAGATGCAGCGAAGTTAACCTGTACATCACATTGGAAAACATTATTTTTTAAGCCTATTCAAACGTTATGGTGCGTTTTACAGATATCTACACAGTGTAGAAACTGTAACAAACTTACCAAACCATAAAAACACAGTTGTCACACTCTCAAATTTAAATGAATTCCGAAAATATTAGCATTGACTCTTATGAGAAAACCGGCTAGTTGTCAAACGCTGCCATCTTGGTGACCTCGGATGACGTCAGTGTATTTGGCTAATACAAAATTTGTAAATGACATTTGATCGGAGTCGATAAGTACGATTTCTTTTATTAATTACATCGGTTATAGACAGATGCCTATAGAGTTCAGTGTCCCTAAAACGTCAAAAACCAGGCGACGCGATCGGCAATTGGCGTCGCTGACCAGAGATATGCAAATGTATGCTAGTGTATCAACCTATCTATTCTACAACCGTGGTCATTAACGAATATTATTTATTCGTATGGTCGTCTAAAAAACGTTGTGTGTAACTTGGCCAAAAAAAAACTTTTTTCACTAGCAGCCATGCCGCATGCAAATGTCGACTCATTTAGAGGTAGCAAATTCAATTTTTGCGACCACCGGTTCAAAAAGAAAAATTGAGGTTATGTACGCAATATTTGATGTGATTATTTCTTAAAAAATGAACAAATGTGTGCTACAAACATTACTTGAGTATACGCATGGTAGTTGGTAGACGGTAGAAGGTAAAATGATTAACTCAGCGACACGTATAAACGGTTTTCTTTGTGTTGAAGATTTAGATTAAGTTTGATTAGAAATCAAAACAAATTCATATTGCGTCAAAAAATTGAACGTTTATTTTTTCAGTTTATTGTCTTATGGTTTCTACTAGTGAAAAAAATAGTATATTAACCACGGTTGCAAAGCCACTTCTAGACCTCGCGCTTCAGAGCCCTCGACGCTGCGCGTCTCGGGTTCTAATTTGCGCTCGGTCTAGAATGCTTGGCTCTGCAACCTTGGCTAATAATATACTATTTTCGATCTCATCTGATTTGTAGGCCTCGGCTACATTTCGGTCTCAAACTTCATATCGGCCGAAAAACTTCTTTTTTATGGCTTTGTTATGTAAATAACTATTTCTAGGACAAAAAACATTTACTAAAAGACCTGTTAAATCGATCAATTTCAGTCAGACATATTTGATATTCACCTCGATTGACTTTGATCCTGTAAAAGGAATGTTATAACAAATTAAGTAAAATTTTGAATTTCAGCTAAGTATACCTCATAGACGAATTGCTCTCTGGTTTTTATGTCATGTGTATAGAAACGTAAAACGTTTGTTGGAAAAAAACACAGTAGTAAGTACCTTAAAAAAAACCCGACATGTCAAATTTGAAACTCTATATGTTGAGATGAAATCTTGTTTTTGAAAAGACGAGAAGGTTTTGCAGCTGGGAAAATATCGTCCTTCGGATTTACTTCGTGCCTTTCCCTCATCCAGAGAAGAACTAATTTTTTAACAGCTTTTTGAAATCAATAAAAATATTCCCTCTATATTTTTGCATTTTAATTCAGGTTCACTTTTTCACCTTTGGGGTTGACCACTTTGCATTTAAACGGATTCCGCCATTTCATACAAAATATTGACAGCTCATGAATCATGAGTAAGTTACAAATTTTCGCGGCTTTTCAAGTTTCTGTGCTACTATTTTGTGTGGAAGGATAAATAAAGGTATGCGTTTTGTTGTGGTACGAATTAATTCAAATTTTAATTTTGGCGAAATGTTTTAACAAAATAGAATCTCGAACGTAATTTGTGGTGGGCGTAAATTAGGCGAAAAAAAGAATATAGACCGTATATTTCGTAACACGAAGAAAAGAACTTGAAATCAGGTGAAATGTTTTTAGCGTTGTATCGGAATGAAGCGAATGAGAACTACAAAATAATTTAACATCAAATTTTAACATTTGGGTGCACAAGATCAGTTTTTACATGATTTGGCAAAAGAAAATATTTTGATTGAAATTCAGTTTTGAGTTTTGACATTATAAATGGGGTTCAAAAGCTTACCCTAACAATATTAGGAAATTCGCTGGAAAAGACATAGCCAGAAATTGAAGTAATTCCAGCCACACCTCCCTCTGAATTATTCCGAATGTCATCCCAATAATGATAGGAATCATTAATCCACTTTCTACAATAAAAAAAATCTAATTGTATTGTAACTAAACGCGACTCATGACTGGTTTAACATACTCTGTAATTTCTTCTGTAGGTCCCGAGAAACCAGAGCCTGGACGAAAAATTCCTGCCGCCACATGACTCGTAGTCTCCTCGTTAAACTTCTCAGAAATTACGTCAATATTCGCATTTCGGAATTCAGTTTTCAGCTGAAAAGCTGTAGTTAGTCCTACAACACCAGCCCCTAAAACGGCAATATTTAAATCCGACATTGAATCGTGCAATCGATTGAACTGGCAGATGGCAATGAACTGCACTGTTGTAAGTAGTTACATCCTACGAATAAAATGTGTGATAATTTATCATGTTTGTTTGTTCTGAAGTATATTTATCTCTAGTATTTACAGCATTATGACGCATTAGATAAATGTGCTTACCTAATTAGGGTTACGAATTTTATCACGCTCTCTTGACACTCGCAACTCTTTTTACTTTGTTCAGGACTTTGCAGCTGGCAACCATGATGTAGGTACCTATTAATAAAATGCGTACCTCTAAACTATGTCAAATCTCTCACGTGTATTTTCATCTTTTTAATATGATATTATTTCTACACATTAATTGTGAACAAGTATGTAGGAACATATGTACTTGTAAACGAAGCAGGTGTTAACAAATCAATCTCGTGCTCTAAATAGCTGTAGAATATATTTTTACTTCCCGAGCGTAAGCGGAGGAAGTGTTGTAATCGAGTCCGTCGGCCGACTTTCTACTTTTACGTTTTCTTCACCTTTCATGACTCCTAGAGAATGAAGAAATAGATCTCCTGTTTCCGTGTCTGCCTGTTTGTCGGTCTGTCTGCCGTCTGTCCGGATTTTTATTAGGTATACAGCTAATCTCCGAAACTACTGGACCGATTGTTGTCAAATTGTGTACGCTAAAAATGTCATGTAGATAGTAAAACCCTAATCAAAATTTTTCTAATCATCCTCACCAACAACGTGATGACAACTCCTCAAAATTTTTCATAGGAAGTAGGGTTTAAATTTTATAATGTAACAAACTGCTGAACTTGTTCTTTATGAATCGGTCTTTAGATTTTTCGCAAGGCATCCAAGTTTTCGCAAAAAAATCGAAATTATACCGCAACCTTTTATGCTAGTGCAATTACATTGAGTGTTTGGTTTCAAACACTGAACATTTAAGCGAATTTCGTCTTGCATTCGAATCTGGCTAGCATAGAACTTTTTGTTTTTTATGCTTTTACTGCTATTATCGGTACCTATTGTATTTTTTATTTATCAAATCTCAAGAACGGTACACCTCGGTGTTTTATTATTAATTATTAGTTATTACATTGCATGTCGGAATTGACAGGGATGTCCTTGCTGGAATAAAGTTGATCGAGACATTATTATTCTCAAACGGGAAAATGTCTTAACAGACATAACCTTTACCTTTATCAATTTACCTCATTATTTTTCATGAGATCCTCATGATCTCATGAATTTAATACGAGATTTCATGATTTTTACTTCCCGAGCGTAAGCAAAGGAAGTATTGTAATCGAGTCCGTCGGCCGACTCTCTACTTTTACGTTTTCTCGATCTTTCATGACCCCTAGAAGACGAAGAAATAGGTCTCCCATTTCCGTCTGTCTGTCCGTCCGTCTGTCCGTCTGCCGTCCCGGATTTTTATTAGACAGATAATCTCCAAAAGTACTCGACCGATTGTTATGAAATTTTGTACTTATATTAAGAATATCATGTAGATGGTAAAACGCTAACCAAAATTTGTCTAATCATCCCCACCACTAATGCGATGACGTCACTTCAAAATTGTACATAGTAAATGGGTTTTCAATTGTATAAAATAACACAGTCCTACACATGTAGTTTACAACTCCGAATCGACTTTTCACCCGAAACGTCCAGATTTTTGGAAAAAAAATCAAAATTATAAAACAACATTTTGAAATTTAATTTTTAATCTGCTAACCAGAATGCTTTGAAATGTTGCAGATGTTTTAAGGCTATAAAGAGCAACATAAATCTTTAGTCAAAAAATATTTGCTTATCCCCTCCAAAAACTTGATGACGTCAGCTCAAAAGTTTGTGGAATAAATCATATCTAAAATGTACAAAATATGATGAGTCTGTACTTGTGATCTATCACTCCATTCATATTTTTTGGATTTGCATATACAGGGTGATTCAAAAAAATTAATGAATGCGTAAATTTATTTTACTGATTTACTCAGAAACTACAAAACCGAATGCTTTGAAATCTTGCAGATGTTTTAAGGTTATAAAGAGCATAATAAATGTTTAGTCAAAATATATTTGTTTATGCCCTCCAAAAAATTGATGACGTCAGCTCGAAAGTTTTCCGAATAAATCCTATCTAAACTGTAAAAATATGATGAGTCTGTACTTGTAATTTATCACTCCATTCATATTTTTTGGATTTGCATATACAGGGTGACTCAAAAAAATTAATGAATGCGTAAATATATTTTATTGATTTAATCCGAATGCTCTGAAATCTTGCAGATCTTTTAAGGTCATAAAGAGCATAATAAATGTTTAGTCAAAATATATTTGGTTATCTTCTACAAAAAACTGATGACGTCAGCTCAAAAGTTTGCCGAATAAATCGTATCTAAAATGTACAAAATATGATGAGTCTGTACTTGTGATTTATCATTCCATTCATATTTTTGGATTTGCATATGCAGGGTGACTCAAAAAAATTAATGAATGCGTGAATTTATTTTATCGATTTAATCAGGAATTACAAAACCGAATGCTTTGAAATCTTGGGAATATTTTAAAATTATTATAAGCATGGTAAACTTTTGTTCAAAATGTATTTGTTCATCCCTCCTAAAAAAATTGATGACGTCACCCTTAAATTTTGCTGAATAAATCCTATCTAAAATGCAAACAAAGTTTGTAGTTGTGATTTATCATTCCATTCATATTTTTTAGATTTTCTTAAGAGGTGGTTCAAAAAAATTAATGAAGTCAATTTATTTTATTGATTAAATTAAAGGCAACACTTATTATTAGTATTACACCCCAACCAACCCAATTTGGTAGACACAAAATTTGTTAAAGGAAAAACTCGGTTGAAACATAGCACGCTTATTTACATCGACTTTAACATTACATACCTGCATTTGTTTTATGCGCTCACTTGGTTCCGCGAATGTAGAATAGACATGTTTATAATCAACCAATTGTGAATTTCACCGTCAAGAATTAAAATAAAACCCAATGATTTATATAATAAGCGGAAGTCGAAGCAATAAAACCGATGGTCGTTTTGTTTACAGTTTCTCTGTTTGACTCTCACGTATGCTGTTACGCTTGTCATCTTAAATTAAGAATGTTTATACATAAACGATTTTCAGTTGCCCCTCATATTACTAGACAGCGGATTTGTGTCGGGCTACGTCACGATTATAGGGGGGGACGTGCTGGATCGCCGGGTGATAGATAATCACTAAATTTAATCGGTACTAATTCCATAAATATAATTAACGATTTATTAATCAAACGGCTAAGTAAATGAGAACGGGAATTAACAGCAGAGTGCAACGAAACAGCGTTATTCTAATCTCAAATAAACGAAGTGCAGCCCGCAACCGCAATGAATTCGCATCTCGTACGACCCGTACCGAGTTTGGCCTTGCCTAGCCCGACAGAAATCCGCTCTCTAGATATTACACACCGGCGCCGTATGCGTGAGTAAATTGTTTCGTTATTTTATTGATTATAAGAAATCAATATTCAAAACGACCCAATTCATTTTCCCGAAAATTTGGGAATACAATAATTTTATTCTTAGTATTACACTACATCTATCCCAACTGATATACGTGTCCTTGCAAAAATGTTGATGACGTCATCACAATTTTTTTTTTAAATTCCCACTACAAAAATGTAATGAGAAAAAAAACACAATAGGCATGCAGTCGTCAAGTTTCCGACAGCGAGGGAAGCACTGTCCATCACTGTCTAAACTCTTTAGACCAATTTTTTTTACTTACGGTTCTGTAGTTAATAACTAAATTAAAAATATTATGCTCTATAATACCTGCACTGTAATTTCCATATATCTAATACCGCTTACGACTACATTTTAATAACTCTTTAGAAACCACATAGAGACGGTGTTAACGGCTAAAGAGAAACGGAAGAATTGTTTTCTGCCTGTACGGGTATAGTTGTCCAAGTCTGACTTCGTTTTTATGGCACTACAGTCTCAATTACCGCAAGCATTAGGAACTCTATCATCTTAAGGACTTATGGGCCCGTGTCGTGCAGGACCGGCTCTGCTTTCATTCAATGAAGGTAAGGGTGGTGGACAAAAACCTCGTAATGATTAATAATAACAAATACTAATACATACATAAGACATGTATAGCTACCAGGATATTTAAAAAAACTGCTTTAGTTCCCGAATAATAAATGCGGTGAGGTATACAACATGCTGGGAGAAAGTACGGCCCTGTGTAATGAGACAGTTGGTCTCTTGATGGTTAGTGACCGCTGGATTATTTGCGTCTTTGCACAAAATGTCAAAACGCATCAATTGACGCCGTCGACTACAGATCAAGAAAGTACGAGTACATGCGCATTTGGTACCACAAAGAGACAGAGAGGTCCGCTATATCTTCTTCTTTTACTGCCCTACTTCACTACGTAAGTTAATATTGTTTCGACCATTGTTTTACCTCATGAAGATATGATGACAGGAGAGAGCATACTTCATTTAACCAGCATAAAGAAATTCCGACAAAACAGCTCCTTTCCGTACCACATCGAGGGCGATCGGTTGTCAGTAGAGGATCAGAGGCGGTACCATTAGGTTTAATATAGGTTCATAAGGAGAATTGTGGTGTAAAAACAAAGATATTCCTAACAACATAAAAACTCAAGTAAATTTTATATTCTATCTTTCTTAATAAATTATGTTTACATTTTATGCCCAGTATCCGGCAAACGCTTTCCAGCACGCTACTGAAACAATCGGTTTCTCGAAGAAGATGGAAGAGCCTTTTGTGGTCCTATTAGAAAGTGCGGTATCAGTCACGTTTTTAAACTATCTTCCCTCCTCTCATTCTACCTCCAAGCTTTACTTATATTTTTCTTAATTCTGGATCGTATGTTATTATCCCACTAAAGAGAGTTGAGAGCACATACCTTTTGAATTCTTTGTCTTATTTATTATCAATTGCACTTCCCAAACACTTAAATTTGTCTATTTGTTTTATGTATCTCTGTGACGAGCCGTAAATTCGTTCACGAGAAAATCGTAACTAAAAGACTAATAACAATAACAATTTGATAGAACATAACAAAATTCGAAAATTTGCAGATCTTAATTACTTAACACGCATGTCCTAATCTGCATATAGTATCATTCAAACAGATAAACAAACTCAACCACCAATCCCCGAACGTAAGAACAAAATTCGCATATTCGCAAATTGCAAATATCATTGCACTTGTCAAACATTGCAAACAACATGCGCAGAACCGTACACTACTATAAAAATCGCCAATCGCAATTACTGTCATTCGAATTTGTACCCAAACTAAAACAGCTGCAGACGAAACCCAGACTCATAAAAACACCAAAGAGCGCCGCCGTTATCAAACATGATAACAAGCGTTCAACTCCCATTTGTATCCAGAGAGCGACGACCTACATCTCGCAATAACCTTCACATCAGACTTACTACGTCATCAACCCAGCAGTGCATTTGTGCACGCACACTCATCTTAGCCCTCGCTAGACTGATCCCCATTTCATCCCCGGAACTGGAATTGCATCAGTTTCCCATATTTTTACCATATAAGGAAGCGGAACTACCGATTGGTCTACGCATCTTCGCATCTCATTACTATATAAGGGCATACGGTACCACACAAGAAGCACGGGTCTATTCCTGTCATCAATGTCCTGTCCAAAACGAAGCTATATAAGGACGAATTTCTAGTAGGAGATTCATTCAATTCATTCAAGTTCCGAGTTGCAGTCGAAGACTATGTCCATTTTCGTACCGAGTTTTTTTTTTTACTATTTTTGCTGAATTTTGAAGGAATCCGAACTTAGAAAAGTTTGCTGAGCTCGAGGGTCCGCAGCATCGCCAGGGTTCGAACGACGAACGTAAGAGTAGCAGGGGCGACGCCAGCATCCTACATGTGTTCGCCTATACCTAAATATTCTCTAGTTTCGGCACTGATCACGCACGTAATATTATAGTAGCCTGCATAGATATTGTAGCCGTCCATAGAGTCGAAATTTGCGAATAAAAATAAAATAAAACCGGCTCAAACGGAGCCGACGACGGCTTGCAAGTTCTGTCACTACGGCACGCGTCACATCACACAGGGGTGTATTTAAGGCTGTTTGCACAAAATCTTAGGATCACTGTAATCTTACTATTTTCTATCTACGACAAACGATTTGTCACACAGCTACGAAACCGATGATCTAGAGAAAGATGGAAGTTTGAAAATTTATTTCAACAAGTGTAATAACCGTTTGGTGCAACACAATTGGTTCAAGCAAACTAAAATATGACAGGAAACAAACAGTCCACGTGGACTAGTTTATAGGCGTGTTTGCTACTAAGATGACTAGGTTTTTCGCTCCACCTGGTTCCGCAACGATGAATATACCATACCACAACTTGTGTACAGTGAACAGAGCTTCGATTTTATTGACGAGATTCAGCTCAGAAATTAAACAGATTATATCATAACGGAAAAAATGGCATTTAATATTAAATACGTCTCTGTGCAACGTGTGCCAGAGTGACGTCAGACTTTGCAAGCCACCGTCGGCTCCGTTTGAACCGGTTTTATTTTATTTTTATTCGCAAATTTCGACTCTATGGACGGCTACAATATCTATGCAGGCTACTATAAGATTGTTTAGAAGGTATCGCACATAATTAGGGATTTACTGAATTAATTTCAAGTTTTAATTGCATGATGATTTTTAGGATTAAATTTAATTAGAGTCGTGGGTTATGTTCATAGATTTTAAGGTTTTAATAATGGAGTACAATTGCGTAGCACTTTTAAATATAGTTTTGCATGTCTTTAGTTATGCAGCGTTGGATTATATATGAGGCGCATGAGGCGCGCGCCTCAGGGCCCGGGGAGACGAGGGCCCGACAGCAAGCGAACAACAATAACTTAAGTTGAAATTAATGCTTAATAATTGAGGTTCGCTAATTCATTATTTTAGGTTTTTGGTTTTTGTTGAGGTTTGTGTTTATTTTATATTACAGGAAAGACAGGAAATATGTTTTGGTTGTTTTTATGAAAAATATATATTATTCTGATATTATATTTAGTTTTTTTTTGTTTTTTACACGTAAGTCATGTTAAAAAATTTGACAACAATCGACCCAGTAGTTTAATAAAAATCCGTGACGGCAAATAGACAGATAGACAGACGGAAAAGAGAGACCTATTTCTTCGTATTCTAGAGGTTATGAAAGGTCGAGAAAACGTAAGAGTAGAGTAAGTCGACGGACAATACTTCTTTCGCTTACGCTCGGAAAATAAAAATTAAAACTAATAATGTCAAGATGAAAGGGGGCAGGGGCCCAGTATTTTTTGCGCCTCAGGCCCGAAGATTCTTTGATCCGGCCCTGTAGTTATGTAAGTTTATGTAAGTTTACTATCATGTTTTATTTTGCCATTCTCCATTTACATATTTACTCATTTATTCTTTTAATATGCTTGTAAATTTTGCTTTCAATATATGTATTAAAATGTTAGGAAAGTTTGATTACTTATACCCCTTCCCCTATGCAGTTTAGCTCTTCCATTGCCAAGAAAATAAGCCTACACCCAAATAAATATTTGTTTCCAATTTCTACTAATAAAATGCTCATGTTGTGTGTTAAATCTCGCTATTAAAACAATAATTTAATCGAAAGGATGAATAAAATGTTTATAGCAACACTTTATTCACACTGTCATTGACAACACGAATAAAGTAAAAAACTAAAAATTTGCACTATCACTGAAATTTTCGTTGCTATGGATGTGTGGATATTCAACTAAAATTTGCAACCCTTGTAACGTTTCAATTTTGTTTCATTCCTTCTTTTGAGATAGAAAAAAAGGCTTGTTTTATTGGGGATGCAAATATTTTACGTACCGACATCTAAGACATCATGGATGCCTATCGGGAGTGTCAAACGACATCGTGGCACTGCTAATGCGCTGGTACTCCCACCCCGCGTGAAAGAATATTCGAGAGTATCGACCTGATAGGGGAAGAGAGAGGTTCTCGGGAGGTTTTGGGAGAAGATCCTGGAAAAAGGAAGTGCCAGGACGTAGCCAAACAGGAGAAAAGAAGTTTTCGGGAAGATTTTGGTGGGGTTCCTGAAGGAAGGAGGTGCAAGGACGAAGAGGAATTTTATCGTTCGTTTTTTTATCACCGCACCCAAGTGGAGAGTTTCTGGAAGAACCAAGCTTATCGTGATGCCGTTGCAGTGAGTAACTTATCGTCGTCCCTGTTGTTCCCTTGAAGAGACCATATCGAGCCGACGACTTTGATTTTCGCTGCTTTTCCTGCGGTGCCGCCGCTAACCTTGAAGTTTTTCTTCGGATCCAGAGGTCTGTGACGCCGCTGTTTTTTTATCAATTCCAATCCAGACGGAGAGGAGCTGCTGATAACTACGGTTACGAGCTAAGTCCACTCTAGCGCCCTATAGTTTTAATTTTCCATTTAGTCGCCCAGTCACTGCTATCTTTATCGAAATTCTTGGAAGTTTTTTTGTTTTTTTTATTTATCATATCGCAAGATAGTTTTGTCCGAGGACGCATGAATACATTTCATTTTCTGCTGTATTTTTTTAATATATTTCAGTGATAGTCCCTTCTGGACGTTACTGGTATTTTTTTTGCGAAATATTAGAGGAATTTCATTTAATCAACACTTGTCAATTTTATTATCCGTTGAATATATTTTTAGTTTTTTTTCCTGTGTTTTCTTGTGGCTTGATTCTTCTCGACTGTTTACTCGATGTAGCGGAGTAAACTACCCCAACAGGAAGCTACGTGGCGCCCAATACAAAAAAATAATAAGAACTCTCCGAACCGCGACCCGCCCCGGCTAAAGAGCTGCCGTTCGCTGTAAAACCCTCCGAAAGAGGGTTATACAAAATTGGCGCCCAACGTGGGGCCAGATTGAGTTTTTTTGAGTTTCGGTGGGCAAGCTTAAGTCACCTAGAGAAGAACCAAACCACAAGGAATTTTATCGAGATATTTTTATCATTGGGTATTTACAATTTCGATTGCACATAATAGGAAATAGGTGTGGCCGATATTTTCTGATATTTCTTTGTTTTCTTATACTTGTTTCATCGAGTTGTTTCCTTTGTTTCGACTTTTTGAATTATTTTCTTTGAATCAACCTATTAAAGAAGGAACTTAATTATGATTTAAGGATCCGTGGCATTGTATCGGAGAGGAAAGAGACTAGTCAAACGCGTAAAATTTTGCACCGCATGATAACGCAAGACGCGGATAGAGCCCTTACATTTATCGACCCTTTATATGCGTTCGAAACAGAAAGAATTGCGATCGACAGAACTCTCGAGTCAATTAAAAATAATGTAGATGAGTCTGAGGGCCCGAAATCGGATTCAGCTTTCTTACGTATTGTTTCTCGTCTCATTCATATAACTAATCGAGTACGGCGCATGCCTATTCCGGAAGATGGCACCCCGAGCCAGTTAAATGCCTTTTTAGAGCGAGTAAAAGAATTAGCCGCCGCTCGAGGGGTCAGCGAAGAAAATGTATTTCTTTCCGCGGTAGACTTATTTAGCGGGCATGCTCTCCTATGGTATCGGTCGATAAAAAATACAGTAAAGTCGTGGGAGGATGTAGTCACTGCACTTCGACGAGATTTCTTACCAAGTTTAGTAATTACGACGACAAGTTATGGGAGGAAATTAAAAGCCGTACACAAGGTCGAGGTGAGCCGATACATATCTACATTGCTATTATGGAGTCGCTTTTCGGTAGACTCTCGCGCCCGGCACTTGAAAAGACCAAAATTAAGATTGTTAAGCACAACCTATTGCCCCGGCTAAAGAGCTGCCGTTCGCTGTAAAACCCTCCGAAAGAGAGTTATACCCTTGATAGTCCACCTCCTGTAAAACAATCCTAATGAAAGTCCAGGAGCATCGTCGTTTGAATTTGACCATGACGAAAGTACAGGCAGCTTAGGCAATTTACCTTCTTCAAATATTCATCATATTAGTAACAGTACAATTAATATTTATGTATATGGATTACCTAAACAATAAATTTTTTGAAAAATTTTGCGAAATTGGAAAAAATCTTTTATGATACACGTAAATAAACGAATTTTATCCACTCAAAAACATTATCATACTCAGCTTCGCCTCGTGTGCTAAACTGTTTTTTCGTTGGATAAAATTCACTTGTATTCACTTATACCATAAATAGCTAGTGTTAGTGTCCAAATGCCTAGCCGCGGTCAAAAACAATTTGGGCACGACATCTCTTCCCTCTAGTAATATTCGGAAACGACCGTCCAAGTTGATAACAAGGTATTCCGTCTTCTTAAAATTTTAAAACTGCTTCTACATTATACATATATATGTATACAGTTTCCATTCTACACGGATTTTAATAAAATTTGGTACATTTATTTACTTAACAAAAAGAAACAAATGATGAAAATTTCAACGAAAATTAAATAAAAACAACGAAGGAATGTTTATTATTGTCTCTGCTTGCTTCGTCCTCTTATGTGCTCATTGACACATTTAGAAAATGAATTGATGAGGTTGGCAATTGTTTCTTGAGAAGCGGCATCCCAAGCCATCTGAACCTCTTATCTTAGAGCAGCTAAAGTTAATGGGAGGTGCTCCAGTATTGACAACCTCCTTCCCATTTCAACCCACACATGTTCAATGAGTGATAAATCTGGAGATTTGGCGGCCATGGCAGTAAGTTGACATTATTTTAATCAAAATACTGTACAATAATGCGAACAATATGATGACCCGCATTATCTTATTGGAAAATCCCATCTTCAATGTCTTGAATGTAAGGACGCAGTCATGTTACCCTCAATGAATAGCAGAGGTGACCTGTTTTCTAAACAAATAGCACCTCACACCATAACACCCGCGTGTGGCATGACGTTCGGTATGTTGCAGATTTTTTCTTTCACCCCGATACCTTCGGACGCTTTTTCTACCTTTAAAAGTTTTGATTCTAGTCTTGTTTCGTAAAGATTTCTTATGCTAGGCTGTTGATCAAGTATAGTTTATATCGCTTGACTGGGAACTTATTGTATTGGTTTCGACATATTTTATTTCGAATTGTTATTTGAGTTATAAATGTGCATTATTTTTGTTAGCAGTAGATAATGATCAGTGCCGCAACTTGCTCCTCTCATCATTCTGCAATCTAATATTTTAAATTTTGTATTTTGTTTGGCTATTATATAATCTATAATACATTTTTGTCTTAATGAACGCTTTTCCCGAGTATATCATGTCCTCTTATGCTCAAACTGAATGTTGGTTGGTCTCAGTTCATGTAAATAACACAGTCCGATTAGCCTTTCACCGTTGTCATTTTCCTTTGTATCTACAAACCGTTCTACTGCTTCGCCCATTGGTTTTTCCAGTAACTCTTGAATACATGTCCCCTGCATTTAATATGTCTTGGTGGGGTTTAATGCGTCTTGATACTGAGGATAGATTGTCGAAAAATTCGTCTTTAGTTTGGCAGTTATGTTGGTCCGTACACTTCAATGATAATCGTGTCAAACTCAAACATCTTCATTGTTGTAGTTATTTTTTTGCCTTGGTGTATCATGTGTATATACTCCAGCTTGGGCTCTACTCGATTTATCTACTCCAGACCAGAAGTGTACAGTCTTCCAAATTCTCTAAGGTTATATAACCCCATTAAACTTAAATTAAACTAATAATGGGAAATAATAACCCTTTTTATACGGCTGGTCAACGGCACGAGACTACCGCCATAAATCAAGGATTTGTCCCAATATGAATGAAATGGATTACGCAGGGGCAGATACAATTGAAAAGATTTACAATTATGGGTTTGCCTTATTAACCGTCCCACTTCACAATACCCTGATTTTATAACAATCATATAATCTTGGAGAATCTGGAAAAGTATACAGGATGATACGTGTACAATAAAAAAATGGAGAATAGCTCACAATAAGATTTATTGCACTGTGTAATGTTCACGTTCCTAAGTGATAGCAATGTGTAGAGGCCACTGGTAGTGTTTCTTGACCTACCATAACTATAATTCAATGAATGCACAAAACGATTAGGATTATGATCCAAAAAAGCGGCACACTGATAAGCAACGTGCAAAAACACGATAAGGGTCAGTCATGTAACAGGTGGTTGCCGTCGTGTATTTGGTTAACGTGTTTAATAATGGTGATTTTTTTCAGTTCATAGTGTGTCAATATGCTAATGCTTTATGGTGTGACTGATGGAAACGCCAGGTTGACCCAAGAATCGTAGAGCGAGAGTTTTCCAAATCGCGCGATTCTGTGTGCGCGAATATTTACACCAGTGGTACAGCACCTTCAAGATCATGGTCTTCAAGCCTCAAACTCAGGATCATGACCATGATAGGACCGAAAGAATACTGCAAGCAGAAGAACAAGTTTTGGAACGTGTCGAAGAAGAGTCCAACATCAGCACTCACCGACTTGCAGCTGAAGTTGGAGTGTTACAGTTTGTAGTGCATCGTACATTAAAAGAACAATGCCTACACCCAAAGAACGTTCAAAACAGCCACAACACTCACATTTGGTCCGATGAAAATCCACACACTCATCAAGAAGATCGATTTCAACGACGGTTTTCATAAATGTGTAAGCTGGTATGTTGAATGATCGCTTCGTTGAATCTTGTTTTACGTAATATACTAAACAAATTTGTAAACAGTGTGTTGGAAGAGGGCGAGAGGTGGAAGTGCCTTTAGGTGAACGAGTTAGCATGTGGTACTTGCATGATGGAGCACTACCACAGTTTGCTAGGCCAGTACTTAACTGAATGGTTAAATAACCATTTTCCTAACTCGTCGGTTGATAGAAGCGGCCCAGTAGCTTGGCCTCCGCATTCACTCGATCTCAATCCGTGTAATTTTTGTCTGTGGGGTTGGATGAAACAGTTCATGGAAATCAACAGTGTCCAGAAACTATCCGTATCGACGGAGATGATTAAAAAATGGGGGTATGGACGTATCTATTCTATGGTTCTGTGCCGTAGGTACTGTTAACATGTATTGTTAAAATAGGTGATAGTGTTTTTTCATATTTGTTATTTTCTAGAAAGTTTTGTCAACTTTTTCATTTCATAGGCTTAAGCCAGTTAGTTAAACTTATCATTCGTTTGTTAATACGATTCAAATTAGCCAATAACATGTGACGTCACGCTGTGGCGGGAACTCAGCGTTTGACAAGCGCCGTGAAACTCCATAAGTGACAATGTTAACATTTTCGCATTTTATTTAAAAGTGTGGGTATTTATTTAGAAAATAAACAGGTGAATAGCTTCCTTCATATCTTTTCTGTGTATCAGGGTGCTTTTTTTGGCGATTTGAGTTTAAAAATACATAATAAAAATAAAAATACAGAACGCTGTTTTGGTCTGAATTCCTCGTCACCCAAAATACATCCGTGTGTTTTAAGCAGTAAATCGGAAATTAATATTTTCGTTTGAGGTTGATGTGACGGGTTTAAGTGAAGGTGTGTAATTTGTTTTTAAAGTATGGATAATAATTTAAGTGATTATGCACGATGTCTTTCCGTCAAAGAGAAAAATAGATATGTACAAAAGTTAAACAATTTATACGGCGTAGATCCTTATAAAATGAGTGCAAGTGATTTTCATTTGTGTTTAGACGATGTCCCTACCATAACAATGAACACCATTCTAAACTTTTTTATTTTTGGAATAAGTAAAATAACCCACAATGAAATTCATGCATTCAAAAGTCTAGAGGCATTTATTCAGTTTTCTCTTTTTTAAACGACTGTGTCTTTTAACATTACAAGTATTATGAGTGGATTTATTTTGATATCCTAAATTTTGTGATGGAACATAATCAGGGTGATCCACATCCGACAAATCTGCAGGTTTACCTAAAAGAGCACCAATGTAGTAATTTATTAGAAACTGTAAATCTAATAGGTAGTTACTGTACTCGTTTCAAGGCTTTTAAGCAAAACTTCCGCCTTTTTTCCCCATCCTGTATATATTTACCTTTATTGTTGCTAATTGCTGGGAAAGGAAAATAAAATTTGTCCGCATTTCTGGTGCTTCGATTCGCGCAACCCACAACAGCACAAAATTTAGGCATTTTCTCCTAAAATACAAAATATTATAATATTAAGATGCTAGTGTATTTAAAAAACATTGATGTACATTAACACAGAATTAATTTGCAAAACAAATAATATAAGATGCAGCGAAGTTAACCTGTACATCACATTGGAAAACATTATTTTTTAAGGATATTCAAACGTTATGGTGCGTTTTACAGATATCTACACAGTCTAGAAACTGTAACAAACTTACCAAACTATAAAAACATAGTTGACACACTCTCAAATTTAAATGAATTCCGAAAATATTAGCATTGAGTCTTATGAGAAAACCGGCTAGTTGTCAAACGCTGCCATCTTGATGACCTCGGATGACGTCAGTGTATTTCGCTAATTATGAATAGATCCTAAAATATTTACGTTCTGTTTTAAATCGCTAAAGTTACAAAGTCAAGCTGTTGGGTATAACTTCCCATAAAACAGATCACAAGCGTCGCTTATTTATCTACCGGTTGACAGTGTCTGATCAGATCACTAGTTGGTGAAAATTCTAATTATTGCTATAACGTCACAGAAAATGATTATCAATGGCAGTTTCAAATTTTCGCATTGAGTTATTAATTTTTTCCAAGTATAGTTAATCCATTTTTACTTCCCGAGCGTAAGCAAAGGAAGTATTGTAATCGAGTCCGTCGGCCGACTCTTTACTTTTACGTTTTCTCGATCTTTCATGAACCCTAGAATACGAAGAAATAGGTCTCCCATTTCCGTCTGTCTGTCCGTCTGTCCGTCCGTCTGTCCGTCTGTCCGTCCGTCTGTCCGTCCGTCTGTCTGCCGTCCCGGATTTTTATTAGACAGATAATCTCCGAAAGTACTAGACCGATTGTTGTGAAATTTTGTACTTATATTAGGAATATCATGTAGATGGTAAAACGCTAACCAAAATTTGTCTAATCATCCCCACCACTAATGCGATGACGTCACTTCAAAATTGTACATAGTAAATGGGTCTTAAATTGTATAAAATAACATAGTCCTACACATGTAGTTTACGACTCCGAATTCAGTTTTTACCCGAAACGTCCAGATTTTTGGAAAAAAACTCAAAATTATAAAACATTTTGCAATTTAATTTTAATCTGCTAACCCGATTGTTTTGAAATGTTGGAGATGTTTTAAGGCTATAAAGAGCATCATAAATCTTTAGTCAAAATATATTTGGTTATCCCCTCCAAAAACTTGATGACGTCAGCTCAAACGTTTGCCGAATAAATCCTATCTAAAATGTACAAAATATGATGCGTCTGTACTTGTGATATATCACTCCATTCATATTTTTTGGATTTGCATATACAGGGTGACTCAAAAAAATTAATGAATGCGCAAAATTTATTTTACTGATTTACTCAGGAACTACAAAACCGAATGCTTTGAAATCTTGAAGATGTTTTAAAATTATCATAAGCATGGTAAATTTTTGATCAAAATGTATTTGGTCGTCCCTCCTAAAAAATTTATGACGTCACCACAAAATTTTGCTGAATAAATCCTATCTAAAATGTAGAAAATATGGTGAGTCTCTTCTTGTGATTTATCATTCCATTCAAATTTTTTCGATTTGCATATACAGGGTGACTGAAAAAAATTAATGAATGCATCAATTTATTTTATTGATTTAATCAGGAATTACAGAACCAAATGCTTTGAAATCTTGGAGATGTTTTAAAGTTATCATAAACATTGTAAATTTTTTTATCAAAATGTATTTGCTCTTCCCCCCTAAAAAATTGATGACGTCACTCCAAAATTTTGCTGAATAAATCCTATGTAAAATGTACAAAATATGATGAGTCTGTACTTGTGATTTATCATTCCAATCATATTTTTTGGATTTGCATATACAGGGTGACTCAAAAAAATTAATGAATGCATGAATTTATTTTATTGGTTTAATCAGGATTTACAGAACCGAATGCTTTGAAATCTTGGAGATATTTTAAAGTTATTATAAGCATGGTAAATTTTTTATCAAAATGTATTTGCTCATCCCCCCTAAAAAATTGATGACGTCACCCCAAAATTTTGCTGAATAAATCCTATCTAAAATGTACAAAATATGATGAGTCTGTACTTGTGATTTATCATTCCATTCACATTTTTGGATTTGCATATACAGGGTGACTCAAAAAAATTAATGAATGCATGAATTTATTTTATCGATTTAATCAGGAATTACAAAACCGAATGCTTTAAAATCTTGGAGATATTTTAAAGTTATTATAAGCATGGTAAACTTTTGTTCAAAATGTATTTGTTCATCCCTCCTAAAAAAATTGATGAGGTCACCCTTAAATTTTGCAATTAAATCCTATCTAAAATGCAAAAAATATGATGAGTTTGTACTTGTGATTTATCATTCCATTCATATTTTTTAGATTTTCTTAAGAGGTGGCTCAAAAAAATTAATGAAGTCAATTTATTTTATTGATTAAATTAAAGGCAACACTTATTATTAGTATTACATTGGACCAACCCAATTTGGTAGACACAAAATTTTTTAAAGTAAAAACTCGGTTGAAACATAAGGGTAGCACGCTTATTTACATCGACTTTAACATTACAGACGTGCATTTGTTTTATGCGCTGACTAGGTTTCGCGAATGTGGAATAGACATGTTTATAATCAACCAATTATGAATTTCACCGTCAAAAATTAAAATAAAACCCAATGTTTTATATAATAAGCGGAAGTCGAAGCAATAAAACCGATGGTCGTTTTGTTTACAGTTTCTCTGTTTGACTCTCACGTATGCTGTTACGCTTGTCATCTTAAATTAAGAATGTTTATACATAAACGATTTTCAGTTGCCTCTCATATTACACACCGGCGCCGTATACGTGAGTAAATTGTTTCGTTATTTTATTGATTATAACAAATCAATATTCAAAACGACCCGATTCATTTTCCCGAAAATTTGGGAATACAATAATTTTATTCTTAGTATTACCAGACAACACAGAGAAGCGCCATAGTTTAAATTAAATGACGGTTGCGGACTCCTCAATTTATGTTGGTAGCAGTGTTTGTTTCTAACTAGGGATAAAAGTAACTAGAAGAAATGTCATAATATTTTTAATGACGTGTTTTATTTCCGACAAATTGGCACTAAATTTACCAGAATATTACAAGCTACTTACTGTTTCCTTGACTTTCATTCAGGTCACACGAATTACAATTATAGTGAAACAAGGTTTTTATGGGCGTCGACTATTTAAATTTGGCGCTTGCGTTTGGCAGTTGAGGACTCCAGTGTCAATAAGGGTGGTTTTGCAAAATCAGCCTCTATGTTGCTTCTCTGTATTACACTACATCTATCCCAACTGATATACGTGTCCTTGCAAAAATGTTGATGACGTCATCGCAATTTTTTTTTAAATTCCTACTACAAAAATGTAATGAGAAAAAAAACACAATAGGTATGCAGTCGTCAAGTTTCCGACAGCGAGGGAAGTACTGTCTAAACTCTTTAGACCAATTTTTTCACGGGTTTCAGGTAGCTTCCTTACTAAACATAACCTGCACAATACAATGTTATGAAATTACTCATTTGTCCCATTCCAGCTTGACGCGTTTCATATATACGTAGTTTATAACAGAACAATTAAATCCTTTGAATAGAGGTTTAAAATTCGATTTGTGACCATCTAAATTGAATCTCCAAGTCAATGCCCATTTAAAAACGTCAAAAATGGTTTTCGAACTGCAGATCATATGTCTTTCAACTATAATAGTGCGATTAGAATTATTATTGTTATTAATGCGATATTTTATCAAACCCGAATTACAAAATTGACAATTTTCTCATTTATTCAGATTAAGGGCATTATACTTGACTGCCAGACAAAAAAAACAGGACCTTTGATTTTTTTGTGATTGGTCGAACTTTTGAAAACAATATTTCAAAAAGCAAAACATTAATACTCATTAACAGAAAACATAAACATAACTATTCTAAAACACGTGGAAACAAAAAAAAAAAGGTATAACACTAAATAATATTAGCGTAAAGTTACAAATATTCAAGTGTCCAGGTTTTTTGTTTAGCAGTGTAGTTTACATAACCCTCCAATGTTTTCAATATTTGTAAAGCTTGCATAGAAAAAAAAACAGTAACAAATTAATTAAAATATTTATTATTATAAAAATAGATTAACAGAACCTCGTTTTAAAAAAGTCATTTTAAATGCATCTCTTCTTCGCTAAATAAATAAATAAGTTAATTGGAAACAAATCAGGTAGGTATTCGAAACCTCGTTAAAAGACCTAATTATAACATTTTTACAATACGTTACTACGCTTTACGTACGAAAACTCTCGAAAACAAAAACTGATTTCTATTATGTAACAATTTCGACGAAACCTCTTTTTACAAATTCTTTATGAAATGAAGGCACGTCGTGAAATAAAAACCAGTGAGCTAATCAAACTTGTGAGTGATAAGAGGAAACCTCACAATTCGCAACTGATTTCCGTAATCACAGAACACTGCATCCCGCAATAACATCAACTGTTTGATGAATATGAACGGTGAGCGTCCTAACGCAATAGTTCGGACACATTCACCTGATCTCACATCCCATATAACAAGACCTCCACTACGTGCTGTCACAACCAGATGCGGTGCCAACATTAACACTTGACTGGAGAATGTCTGAGAGACATAAATGGTGTTGAGAAGATGTCCTTGAAAACGTTCCCAAACACAGAGCCGATCATCTGAACCCAATGATATTACGTAGCTTGCCGAATAGGTTAATGAAGTGATCACTCCATCATGTGCTTGAATGTTGTACATACATGCACCTGTAACATTATATAATAGGATATTAGCAATGGTTCACGCTGTCTTTAATTTAAATTGCAGGACGATGTACAATTTTGGCGACTGCAAATTTTCTGTTTTCTTTTTTATGTCCATATTTCTTTAGAAAAGAAGACAGAAAGTGATGTAATACACTGCGCATGCGTTTATAACGCATCCATATTATACCTATAGAAAACATTCATCCGTTTTTCTTTAGATTAAGGGTACAAGGTCCCATGCCGGTCACCGAAAAATGCACGAATTTTTTTGCGTTTTCATTTTTACGTTAAATCATAGGGGTTGCAAAATGTCACCTTTGACAGTTTTTAAAAAATACTTCAAAAATGGCAAGATATTTGAGTCCAGAGGACACAGCAAGGGCTATCGTCAGATTAGAGCAAAATTGCTGACTTGCCGCTGTTGCTGCTGAGTTAAATGTAAACAAAAGCTGTATCTTTAAATTAAAGCGCCGATGGCAGCAAGATATATTACAACGGCCTATAAGAGTTAATGTGAGAAAAGTGACACAACAGCATGAAGATAACGCATTGGTAGAATTTATTCACAGTAACCCATTTACTACTGCTATAAGAACATATGAAGAAACAAATTTTCGGGGGTCTGCGAATAGTGTTACAAGAAAGCCACTGAACAAACACCGATTTAGTCCATTCATCTATCAAAAAATTTGCATGACATCGTGCAGTTTTGGGTGGCCACAGCGGTACATTACATTACATTTTATTATAATGGGTGTTCAACTGAAAAATCACTCAGAGTAGGCGTTGAAATTTCGTTTGACACAAACGGCATGTCTTATAACATTCATTTGGCAGAAACATAACCTGTTATGCGTTTTATGTTATAAGAAAAGGCACGCCGTTTGTGTCAAATGATATTCAACACCTACTCTGAGTGATTTTTCAATTGAACATCCTTCCTTTACTTTCGTATTAGTGTACTACCCATTCCAAAAACTCCCAACATATCAAAGGGACGTTAGGTTGCTAGTTGCTAACCGTAAAAATAATGTGATTTGATGTCAGAACATGGCCAACTCCATAAATCTCTAAAGAGAGATGGCCATTTCAATCAGCATTTACATAATTATGTAAGGTACTCCTTTAACATAGGAGTATTTAATAGTCAGATTTGTCTCATCTTAAACACGTCTACTTGTAATTTTGGTGTTTAAAATGTTTTTAATAGTCCATCAATTTGTCAAAGAAAAGATTATACAACTTTTATTTGCATTTGACTTTAATTTACCTGTCAATAAATCCCAAACGCAGAGCATACCATCTTGAGATCCACTTCCAGAAGTTGCCGGACTCACTCTGTCAATAAAGAGGCACGTAATGGGTCCGCAGTGGCCATGTAATGTGTACTGTGGACTCCCATCTTCTAAACGAAAAACTTTTAATGTGTGATCTTGACTTCCAGTTACTATTCTTCCTCCTTCACAGTCAAGACAAATAATTGGTTGTTGATGTGCCTTAACACTCATAACTTTTAAGCAACGAAAATCTTCTTCGACATTGGCATCCTATAAAGTTTGTTATAGTCAAAAGAAAAATGAATTAAAAAAAATGTCACCGGAGAAACTAAAGTATTTTGTTCAGGTACTGATCCGACTGAACCAGTCCTCACATGGGTTCTTCTGTAAGCGCACGTAAAATTCCAATCGATTGGACGACCATGACTGTAAGTTTGCATCTGAAAGAGTTCTAGCGTGCCATACAACCTAGATGCTACTATTTTTGAACCGACAATTTTCAAGTTATTGATACCCACTTCGGTACCATCTTCAAATATAGACTGCAATAATACACTTATAAAAATCAAGTGTCAGAAGTAGTAAGTCTAATTATTGAAACAGGAAAATTGTATTGCAGAAATAAATGCAACACAATAGAACAAATACATTTTATGTGAAACCATTAATATAAATGGGTTATTTACACTGCTAGGTGCAAAATAAGCTTGTTGAATCTAACAAGTGTTCATGTTGAGGCATGTAAGTCCTTGCTTAAACAACATATAATATATAACTTACTTCTATTACAAAGTCAATTTTAAAATCATTGTTCTGACAAAAATTAAGACATTGAAAGCTATTCGCAAAAAAAAATAAATCATTATAAAAAATATATATAAAAAAAAAATGTAACAGTTGCACCGGCAAAGATGTTAAACTTGACAGTAATAAATTCAGAACTCATGTTTGTTAACAAAATTAGCAAGATAATGCTTCAAGAAAATTTGCGTCAAAATTTTTAAATATGCTATACACTATACACAGACATCGATTTACCGACAAAATTTTTAGTTAACACCATAGTGTGTGTGTCAAATGAATTTTCAAATCCACTTTATATCTGTCATTTGTGTCATTCTGCTTTGACACTTAAATGAAATGACTAACGGGCCAATTTCAAGTTGAAATTGGCTCGGCTCCCAAGATTGAAAATTTTGCCACATCAAGTGGTACGGTTGCGAATCCACTTTGTCGCTAGGTTTTCCTTCTTTTCTCCATACTACACAAAACAGAAAAGACGGAATCGGGTTAAGCGTCATCGTAGAAAATACTATCCTATCCGAAACTTTAAAACATGCAGAAATTGACAATAATTGTTAATTGCTCTAACTAGTTTTAATTAGTCTTATGTATGTATGATTTACATTTGTAGTAGTATCTAAAAATTTTTTCTTCCTACAAGAACAGTAATCACGCCAGGGAATATATATTTTAATCCAGAGTTGCAAATGTATTTTCGCTATTTTTACTTGTAACAACAACAACAACAACAAAACAGTTATAATGAAATGGTCGTCAATCAAAATCTCGGCAGTTATATAACTAGTTACGACATTCCTTCTCTAAGAAGTAAAATTCTTGCAAGAAAATAAAATTCGGTCGTCGTTTCCCAAATAAAATCATACATTAAAAATACTAATTTAGAACATTATTTTTAATTGTAGTTCTATCTACAGTAAAATGAAGTGACAAATTAACATTTATTTTTTATTTCACAAAAAACAAATACAAATCTGATTTTATCTGATCTAAACTTAATATAATTCCCGCGACTTATGTATGTGGTTACAGGCTGAAAAGATAAAATCGTCCACATCTGATCTGGTCTATGTATGCAATGTTAAAAGGAACTTAAAAGTCATAGAAAATGTGGACATGTTCCCTGTCAATTGTCTGTGTTGTTTTTTGTGTTATTATAAATTGAAAAAAACAATAGATAAAGATATGATACTTCCAAAATTATTTTTAATAATGAAAGTCAGAACAATTTCATGTTCCCAACACTAAATACGGAATTAAAATATGGTGAAATAATGAAAAAAAAATTAAACTTTGAAGGTCTGCGTCCTCTACATTTGGACCCAAGGATTTTAAAAATTATTTTCCTTATTCAATGAGCAGCCCTTAACAATGTGGCATAGAGTTAGTGCACCATTTTTGATCTTTGATTTTTGGTAGGTACGGGTACCTACATAGACAAAATTTATCACTCTCTAGTCCAGTAGAATATAATTTAAACAACTAGTAAAGTTTTTGTTGTATTACTTCCAATTCTTTTGGAATCTCGCACTCCACATTTAAACTCTAAATACGCCACTTTTCAAAAATTCTAATACTATGTATTACCTTAAGTCGACCTGTACTGCCTTCCCAAAATTCTAATCGACCATTAGCACATCCAATAACAATGAGGTTGTCCAAATAATCCATACACCAAATTGGTGATAATTTAGTATTCAAATCTACATTACTGTCACCTAGTTTCAAAGGTGTATCACCCAAAGTTTCTAAACTATTTTTCTTAACACTAAAGTTTTGATTATTTTCACTAAAACTAAGCGATTTACTTTCTTTGGCCCTTTTCATTTCTTTCATTCTGCTTTTCACTTTGGGTATATCACGATAAAAATACAACTCTCGGTAGGTTTTATTAAAATCAACTTTGGCATCATAGGAGCTGCTTTTTGAGTTATCAACTTTATTTGAAAAACTGGTGTTAATCCGTTGTTTGAGACATGGAAAAAGGTACGTCTCACCCCGAGAGGGTGGTGAACCGGATTCGTAATCTGAGGAGTTGTCATCATCGCAATCTGACATACAGTCATGTAAGTTGAACGTGCCTCGAAAGTAGCTAAAACCGAAATATGTGAATAAGTAGAAAACCTTTTGTTTGACATCACTCACGATTTTCGATCAACGTTAGCGAGAAGTTCTCCAGTACTGCTATCCCAAACTTTCAACTGACCATCCAACGAAGAACTTACTAAATTAACGCCATCTGTTGCAATACACTCAATTTCTTGTTGATGTCCTTCTAACACCACAGGCATGGCTTCAAGAAGTACTTGATCTTCTACATTTTCATCACTTTTCTCGCTACTAAACCACGACGCCCGCCATTCAGCATAATTTCGAGAACAAATGCAACGGTAAAAAACTACTACAATGTATCCCAAAACTATCACGCTTATCAAACAGAGAATAGCAATTAAAATCATGGCAAAAACTGATGTAGGGTAGAAAGGTTGTTCCGACTGAGGTATGACAGTTTTTATCGTGCCGGTTTCCATACCATTGAAGTCTATGGGGTCTAAAGCCGCTGCTAATGCTTGCCACTGGAACTTCTCTCCATATTTTTCATTAGGGTTCCTTAAAAGGATTGCTTGTTCTGGACGTATTACATGTGATATCTTAATATTCGGAAGTATGGCAACAGAATGTCCACTTAATGACAAATTGTACTTGCGAACAATACTTGACCAATGTTGAGGTGACAGTTTTAACCACGGTGCGTAATCGGAATGTTTCAAATTTTCAAAATCGTACGTTTGGTTTTGTTGGTATTTGTAATTAAGAGGGCTGTGAGTTACATAACTAATCCTGTCGATGAATGAATTGTTGGTATTCAGTAAAGGAAATAACTTGATAGTTGAATAGTTTTGTTCTAAATCAGTGCGGCTTTGTTCTTCTACATTGTTATGAAAATAACTGTTATTTAATACGTAATGTTCAATAATGCCACTATTGTATGCAATATTGCCTATCCAAACCACCATGAGTATCATAAAAGCTCGATGAAAAAATCGTGTTCTAGTCCATATATGTACAAGTTTCAGTCTTTTTGGTATTTTCTTTTCTTGGGCACCCTGCACCTGACCGGCTACGATGTTGGCATGAAACGAATTCAATCTCGGATGTGACTTCGAACGCCTCATGCCGCTATCTCTTGATGACCTGTCGTAGAATGCTTGGCTTTGGTATAAACTACTTCGAAAATTAAAATTACTCTTTTCCACAATATTTTCCTTCCTTCTTATATCAATACCCAATACAGTTGAAAAGAAAATCATTTGCATAAAGTAATCTGTCACTAAACCCACTACCGCAAATATGCAGAACTCTTGTATCACCGCAACGAAGGTGAAAATGCCGAAAGTTAAAATAGTAATTTCCAGAAAAAGATTTTTAGTAATCGACCATCCTTCTTTACTCAGGCCTTGTGCGATACGAATTTTTACATCTAAATGTAATGGAGATGACACCACACTTTTTGTCAAACATAGTACATTTTCCAGTCCGACCAGTAAAACTAAATATGGAAACACCACTTTTCCTTCAAGATTTAAAGTAAGTCCAAAGAAAAAACATAGTCCATAGGTCATAGTAAGACTAGCCGCTAATGTAACAACTGAAGTGAAAGCCATTCCAAATTTTGAATAAATGAGTTCAATTTTTCTGAAAGAGAAATAAAAATACAGGAAAAGTATTAAAAACGATAAAGTTATAGGAATAAATTCAACAAAATTAATTTCACCGGGGTACTGAATTACGAGCGTATCATTCAACATAGCAGTATAATTTTCAGTCTCATTATCTATAGTCTGATGAAGAGGATATGTAGACTGTAATTTTAACCGCAAACCGTCAATAAACCTATAACAAAAAAAAAAAAAGTGACAACAGCGTACTAACAAATCGAATTCAACTCACTTTCGGTCGTACTCCTTTAAAAATAACGTAACAGCATACTGAATTATTCTATACCTATTCCTCAGTGGATATCTTTTTATACCGGTATCGAACACTTTCATTCCGAACATCATTTCCGTTACAGATGTTTTGCCTTTTTGAAAATTCTAAAATTCACTAGCATCACGAAAATAATAACTTTTACTTCTACTTACATGATGATTAAAAATTGTAGTGAGTAAAGAATCATCTTGGGAGAAACGTAATACATCTTGATGCCACAAATTTGCTGGTGATAAAACCAAACAACTGTATTCGGGCAATATATTTTTATAAGCCTCTTTATGTCTTCTGATTGATTCAACATGTAAGCAGACATGACCCAACGTCTTAGAAGAATCTTCGTCTTGGTAATTTCGTACCATTTCTAAGAGTTTAAAAGCTTCGTACAAAGGCGCCCTAAACGCATCACCTAAATTTAAGTCAGGACCCCACGGTAGCACGGTACTTTTTAAAACTACTTGCTGAATATAGCAAAAAGGTTGCGTTGTTGAACTGGAATTTATACTAGATGTCCATATCTGCAGTGGAGAATTTCCAGGGAGCGGCAAATTTAATAACGGATAACTAGAAAAGTATTATCATACAATGTTTCTTCTTGCAACCTTGGATCCTTACGCAATGTTTACACATTACGATTGTTCTACTCACCAAGATAACACAGTAACAGAAATGGCAATAATAACCAAACTTCTAGGGTACGTACTACAAAATAAACCATGGGCGTAGTAAAAATGAGCCACCTTTTCTTGAAGCGTTGAAGTTTTTCCTGAAATTGTAGCCCTCGGGCGGGGCTCGTCTCCACGAGCACTCATCTACTACGTTATGTTTTCCATCGTTCTAATTATTTTCAAAAAGATGAGAAAAACAAACTAACTGAATGCCTCACATACGCCTCTGTAAAAAAGAAAGTAAAAGTAATATTAAATTATCTTGACAATTCATTATATAACAAGGTGGTGTAAGTACTGTACTAAAAAGTAATAGGACTCTGGCAAACCAAAAATTGGTTTAGCTTATTTAGACAGAACTTCCTTCGCCTCCTAAATCTAACAAATACAGCTTCTTTATTTATTATTAAAAAAAAATTATACTCCTAATTAAAAAATTTGCATATGATTTAAATTAAAGTACGAGCAAAGAAGCACAAAATTTTACGATGATGTTATGGAAAACATTGTCGACTTTTTCTGTCGGGAATGAGATATGTGATGAGAGAGAAAAGAAGACTCTTCGACACAAATTCTTTCCACTGTATTTCATTTCCGACAAAAAAAGTCGACAATGTTTTCCATGAAATTTATAGTTTTATAAACTGAAAAAAGTAGTGAAAACCGCATTCCAAAGTTTCCATTATTAATTGAGATTTTGGTTTTTAAAAATACCTGATGTAAAAATTTCAGAAAATAACAAAAAAGATGATAGCAAATTGTTAAAAATAAAAACTGTCCACGCGTTGTAGTTAGTGAAAGGTGGACATGTTATATTTAAAATTTCATATCAATAGGTTTGTTAATAACGGTGATATTATACTCCGAAAATGTATTGACAATCCATAAGTTCCAAACGTAAGGACTGCTCTTAACCAGTTAGCCTGTTAGCCAGGTGAAGGCAATCGCTCGTATCCGTGTACTGATAATTACATAACGTAAGAAAGATCGCTTTCCCTCAGAATTGTAGATATATATCTGAACACAAATAAAACGTTCAAATAAAACTTCCAAACATATACAGTCGCCGCCGTTGAAAAGTACCACACTGCATTTTGGCGCACTATTTGAAAATTTCAAAATTCACACAGCCTAAATTAGGTTCGTATCAATTATGAAAATGTAACTGTCAACTTTTGACGAAACAGTGGCGTACGCTATTTTGGAGAATGCCACATTTAACTATTTAGGGAAGAATTGATGCAAAGCATTACAGATACCTGGCAATCCTGGCATGCAATCCCATTCTAATATGCTAAAGCGTAAACGATACAAACCGTTGCTACAATGAAGTATTAAATTTTGTTGAAGTAAACATTTCTTCTCTACGACACTGTTTTCAGTACATTTGAAGTGGCATTTTAAAAACTTCAAGTTCGGGGGAGTTCACAAGAACAAAATTTTAGACATGTTAAAGTGTATTAGTTTTCAACAGCCGCGACTGTACATCACCAAATTTAAAATCGTTGTTTTCCCAACGTAATAGGATGTAATCAATTATTTACGTCAAATTAATTTTAAGTGACGTTAAATAAACGTCATATCAAATTCACACAGGTCATTTAATTTGCATGAAACACAATTAATTGAATATAAGATAATAAAATATGCAGCGCAATCACACCATTTTAGAAGTGAATGCAAATTGATATTTAGCCCATGAGATTTTAGAAAATTCTATACATCTTGACTCTCCGATTTTTTTTTTCATACATGAGTACATATATATTATTTAAAAAATATGTGTAATATTGTATAATTTAAACAAATGTAGTACGGAATATTTTACCAGCAAAAAATGTGTACGTCCCATCGTAATATTTCACTCCGTGATTTTTTTTTTCTATGTTAAACTGTTAAATGGATGTATGGCACTTCTACAAATGAATGAAAGTTTTAAATTTCGGCATTCTAGATACACAAATTGTAAGTGAGGAAATACAATCTAAAAGTGCCTTTACACTGCATGATTTGTCATATGACTTCTCCTAGTGCAGCTTTTTTCGTGTTTACACTGTATGATTTCTCATATTACTTGACCCATAACACAAATCATAAGAGCGGTCATAAGCAAATCATAGCAGATTTCCAGAATAGGACGGGGTCTATTTTGAAGAGAGTTCTCGTACGATAATTTTAAATTTCGCGCTTTTTTGAAGAAATTAAAATAAATTGGCAGTTGAAAGTGAGCCATTTCCTACTCCATAAAGTTCGTTTAACTTTATTACGTCTCGATTGCTTTCTTTTTAATAACCCCACAATCAAGCACAGTAAACCACTTTGATATTTTGCCACTTGTTCACTATTCATTGTATAAAATTTTCACTACTACACACAATTCTTAAATTTAATGTGAGGCTAATACAAAAAATATCCAAAGTCAAGCAAACGTGTTTCGCTTCCCCCAAATGTTAGGTTAGGTTAGAGTCGTTTGACAGTGACACTTTGCTCTCACCCCACCACGCTTCAAGTCGAACGAAAAAATCATATGAGAAAGCATAGCAGTCTAAACTCAAAATCTGCAAATGGTATGATTCCTTGAAATCATACAACTTATCATACGATTTGTATTAGCAAAAGTCATATGACAAATCATGCAGTGTAAAGGCACTTTTAGTGAAACTATCTGTACTGGGTACTGGCAGTGCAAAGTCTGGCAACGAAAGTTCAAATGTCATAATTATTCTGACAAATGACATAGTAACCATATTAATTAAAACCATTAAATAAAATGTCTAGCATTACTAAATGTCAAATCTGGAACTTTTTCAAATTTCGCAAGTCCATGGATGTAAGAAATACCTATGAATGACCTGCAGTGTTAATAAGGAAAAGCATTGTTGGGACATAAAAATAAAAACAAAAATTGGTCCAAAGTTATTTAGACAGAACTTCCCTCGCCCCTAAAGTACAGGCGAACAAATACAGATTCTTCGAAAAATTATAAAATATAAATTAGCGATTTTTTTATGATAACCCCTATGAGTTAAAAAATTAGTCGAAAGTTGTTTCGCCAGAACTTCCCTCGCTCCTGAAGTACAATGAAACATATCCAGCATTTTCGAGTTGAGTTTTTTCTTTACACAATTTTGTGATGACGTCATCAACATTTTTGCAAGGACACGTAATATCAACTTGAATTGGTGAAGTGTAACACAAAAATAACCGTACTGAATTCCCAAAATTTTCTGGGAAAATGAAGTGAGCCGTTCCTGATTTAATCACAAGTAAAAACTCATCACATTTTGCACATTTTGGGTAGAATTTATTCGGCAAAATTTTGAGATGACGTTATCAATTTTTTGGGACAGATTTTGATTAACAATGTCCATGCTTATAATAAATTTAAAACGTTTGCAAGATTTCAAAGTATTCGATTCTTAGTTTGATCAATTAAAAATTGGTCAAAGGCTATAAGTATAATCCGACAAATCCAGATCTTTAAAAAAATTATAAAATCTGATTTTACGATTTTCGTTTCGTTATAACCGCTGTAAAGTAAAAACCAGAGGCATAAATAACACCCCTTGTCCTTCAGTAGTAGGTAATAGCAATCTGAAGCGCAAGTGTTTATTTATGTTTATAGTTACATCGAAAGAATGTCACGTGGAAGTTACTTTGATTTGAATGAGGTTGTCTTCTCAAAACAGAACTAAAATTATTATTAATTAAACCACAATCGAAAAAACTTATTTTGTCATTATTATATAAAGACGTCCGTATTCTTGACAAAAAAAATGGGGTGACTCGTTCCTAATTTGACCAATAAAAAATTTGTGATGACGTCATCAACATGGATAATTCTGGTCACAGCATAAAAGAAAAGTAATCACAGCGTTATACCAATGTAAAAAAAAATTGGTCTAAAGAGTTTAGACAGTACTTCCCTCGCTGTCGGAAACTTGACGACTGCATGCCTATTATGTTTTTTTTTCTCATTACATTTTTGTAGTGGAAATTTAAAAAAAAATTGTGATGACGTCATCAACATTTTTGCAAGGACACGTATATCAGTTGGGATAGATGTAGTGTAATACTAAGAATAAAATTATTGTGTTCCCAAATTTTCGGGAAAATGAATTGGGTCGTTTTGAATATTGATTTCTTATAATCAATAAAATAACGAAACAATTTACTCACGTATACGGCGCCGGTGTGTAATATCTAGAGAGCGGATTTCTGTCGAGCTAGGCAAGGCCAAACTCGGTACGGCTCGCACGGGATGCGAATTCATTGCCGTTGCGGACTGCACTTCGTTTATTTGAGATTAGAATAACGTTGTTTCGTTGCACTCTGCTGTTAATTCCCGTTCTCATTTACTTAGCCGTTTGATTAATAAATCGTTAATTATATTTATGGAATCCAGCACGTCCCCCCCTATAATCGTGACGTAGCCCGACAGAAATCCGCTGTCTAGACTAATATGAGGGGCAACTGAAAATCGTTTGTGTATAAACATTCTTAATTTAAGATGACAAGCGTAACAGCATACGTGAGAGTCAAACAGAGAAACTGTAAACAAAACGACCATCGGTTTTATTGCTTCGACTTCCGCTTATTATATAAAACATTGCGTTTTATTTTAATTCTTGACGGTGAAATTCACAATTGGTTGATTATAAACATGTCTATTTCGCATTCGCGGAACCAAGTGACCGCATAAAACAAATGCAGGTCTGTAATGTTAAAGTCGATGTAAATAAGCGTGCTACCCTTATGTTTCAACCGAGTTTTTCCTTTAACAAATTTTGTGTCTACCAAATTGGGTTGGTTGGGGTGTAATACTAATAATAAGTGTTGCCTTTAATTTAATCAATAAAATAAATTGACTTCATTAATTTTTTTGAACCACCTCTTAAGAAAATCTAAAAAATATGAATGGAATGATAAATCACAAGTACAAACTCATCATATTTTTTGCATTTTAGATAGGATTTATTCAGCAAAATTTAAGGGTGACGTCATCAATTCTTTTTAGGAGGGATGAACAAATACATTTTGAACAAAAGTTTACCATGCTTATAATAACTTTAAAATATTCCCAAGATTTCAAAGCATTCGGTTTTGTAATTCCTGATTAAATCGATAAAATAAATTCACGCCTTCATTAATTTTTTTGAGTCACCCTGCATATGCAAATCCAAAAATATGAATGGAATGATAAATCACAAGTACAGACTCATCATA